ATGCCACAACCGAAAAGATCTTGGAAATGATGGAATTAATATGTGGGAGAGTGCCTATATCATGATGAGAAGGAGAAAGATTTAACAGGATGCAGTCTTTAGTGTGAGATATTTGAAAAGTTTACAAAATATACAATAAACTGCCTGTAATGCACCATGAATGGGGGAAAAGGTTATTCCATATGCATGAGTCTGCTGGTTGCTTGAGAAAAACTTAAGACCCCCAATTCTCATGCAGCTTTTGTCCATTTTCAATCTCAAATATTTCTGTATTCCATTTCAATGTCAGCCAGTCTAGAAAACTGAGATTAATGGCCATGGGGATCCATTGCACTGACCACGTGACACCTTCTATCCGCTAAAGTTGGCACTAACTTTGCTGACAAGTGGCGGTTGCTTGGTTGGTATAGTTCACTTGCGGACTACAGGCTACAGAGTTTTAGTTTTGTTTCAGTGTTAGAATTACATGTTTGCACTTCACATCTTGGATGGGGAGTCTTCTTATGTGACACTGTGAATTTATGGATGAAGGAGCTTGGATATAGTGTAAGGCACAATGTTTTAAGTAACCTGTACTGTCGTTGTGAATCACTGTGGTTCTAATGACGCTGAATAACAGAGGACAGAGGGCAACACTGCAAGTGGTTGCCAGGAGAACTATCATGTGGCAAGTGAAGTTATGTGCACAACAATTTTATTTTTAATAACTTTATAGAAATGGTAAATGCTTTTTGAAATTTATACCCCTTGGATTAGTATTCTGGATGATAGCATTTGACGCTTACTCATTTTGTTTCTTAGATTCATGTGCAATACATGAGAGAGTGCTTGAGGGGGAGATTGTCAGACAGTTCTCAGTTACTGTCTGTGAGGAGGATGTGAGAGAGGCAGACCTCATAAACACTGGACTAAGCTCAAACATCCTGAGAAGCATCCTTAGAAAGCAGACGATGTTAGGCAGAGTAACAGTTCTCCTGTAGGTCAGGGATTTTTCTCTCTGCCATCATGCAGTGATGTGTGGGTGATTGAATGGATGGATGATACAGGTGCATGTATTATGTTTTTTATACATAAATATCATAATGCTTTACAAATGCCAAGGTTGTATATTGTTGACACACTGCTTTGTAATGTGACAGAGACTGACTAGAGGCCCACACACTTTTGTATTGAGTGATCATGAAGGTCCACACTATTCTTTTTGAAACATTTGTATTTTATAAGTGCATGATACTCCCTTGACATGTAAAAGAATAAACAGAACTAAACACCTTTTTCCCGCTTTGTTTCCAGGAGTCCACCAGTCATATTATACAGTAAAATGTTATTGCTATCAACATATTGTTCTTCACAGTTCCTTACATCTGCAGCTGAGGGACAGCACAGTTTCACAGCAAATTAGGCCTCATTCCTTGTTATCAAGATTATCTGAACATAACATTTCCTAAATATCCTGATTTAACCCAACTTCTTTCAAGTTTGTTGGAACAAATTTTGAACTTCAACTCTTTCTGTACGAATTTCATTTACTTGGAACTTCATATGCATTTTACTGTGAGTAGCCATTTTCTGGTAATACAACTCAAATTGTTCATATTGTTAATACTGCTGTCATCCAGTCCACATCTACACATCTTCCTAACAGCCATTTTAACATTATCTTCCCATTTCCATTATCTGTGAACTGGCTAAGTTTGAGAACCATCCCACCAAAATTCTTTATGCATGTCTTTGTTTCCACACATCTGAGATCTGTGTACAGCCTGTCATCACCTGTGATTTGGTTGCTGTTACAGTGCCATGTAAGCAGTTTTAATCACAAAGTTCTTCATTTTGTAATATCTTTCATTGCCCAATGCATCTCCCTGAGATCCATGTATGTTTGATTACAGATGTTTGTTGTATGTGTTCTCTGAGAGAAAGAGATGTGCAGATAGATACATGCATCCCTTAGATCCTAGAGAGCAGGATGTGGCATAAGTCAGAACATTTCCTGTCCATATAAAGCAGATTATATGGTTTGGTTGTCTTGTAATAATCCATATATGAACCAACTTGTAGTTTAATATTTTCCATCTTTACTTAAAAAGTAAAAAAAGTAAGTAAAGCTATCCCTGTAACAGGCCATGAAGGCCCATAGGGTTGTGAGACGTTGAGGATCCCACACTATCTAGACAGTCGGCTCAAAGATGGCGGTAAGGTTGTCAGCCTTACGCGCTGGCCGCGCTTTACTCCCCAGGAAAATTATTTATTTAATTCCTGGTACTCATTTCTGTTAGAGGCTGAGTGAAGCCCAGGGCCATAGTGCGGCCAGAAGGATTAGGTAAATTGAAAAGAAAAGAAAAAATCCAATTACCTCATAGGTATTTGAACCCGCGACCATCCAACTTGTAGCATAGTGCCTTAACCACTACACTACTTTGTGGCCTCTTTGAATGCTTACTTATGAAAGTAAAATGTCCATATGCCGACATTCCAGGTATGTGCAAGTCAACACAGAATAAAATTCATTGAAAAGATTTGACTTATAAGTGTGTTGCAAGGGACTTAGGATTGTATGCATCTATTGTTTTTACTTCCAACACAATCTCTCAGCCCTGACTGTGGAAATTGAAAATGGTGAACCTGTTTAAGATTGAATCCCCACTACAGTTGTCAGTATTGCTTCTGTTCTCTGGCATCATTCTTTCTGCTGTCATATAATGAACCTTCAGTTACTTACCATGCCTGTCCTATTGCCACAAACCATGTTTATTTAAAAAATCTGAAAATTTGCGTTAATGATTATGAACTGAGGAAAATTACATATAAAATACTTCTCTGTTTCATGGCATTACACAATTCTTGTTAGGCTCCTCTGTTGTAGAGGTTTTCTTAATGCTTGCTATGGCTGGTGGTAGGACTGTGGAATGAGTATATTATTTATTGCAAGACCTCTGTCTCACACATTAACATAGAAAAATGCTTACAGCATGTGGGATTTGAACCCATTATCCCAATGTGTATGCAGCATAGGACAAAATACACTGGAATCGTCAAGTTGTAGACTAAAAGTTGGAAAATATGCAGTACATAGATATTCTAAAGAGTACCCAAGCATTCTCAAAATTTCCTCGGTTTTTCAGTGTATGCGGTATTGGTATGAGAATGAAATAACTGGTATTATGAATATTTTGATATTTATTTATAGTTTTTTACTACTCACCTCCAACTAGTGCCAAGGTCAAGAGATGTGGATCTATACATCCACTCCCCCATACTTCTTCATGGCATAGTGCATAATTGGTTAAACACAGGGACAACTTTACCTGACTTAGGTTATACAGTATTAAATGGTAACATGGCTGTGAATAATATATTAGGAAGAATGTAGGAGTAAGTGGTCATGGCCCATTTTAAGGTATGTCCCAGTGTTTGCATGGAGAAACTGAGAAAACCTAAACAGTTCAGTCATTATAGGAGAATCCAGGCTGATATTCGAACCTGAGATCTCCAAAATATAAAGTAGGCATGCCAGCTACCGAACTGCAGTGTTTGGTAGTAAATTAGCAGGACTGATCTTTAGGTCATAATAGCCGTGACGGTATTGTGTCACATATTATGAGACATGATTTTTTCCCCGTAAGAAATTCAGTGAGAGGTATACGTGAAACTCCAAGCCCTGATACAGAATGCTGTTATACATAACTATGGTTGCAACATATCCTATATTATTCCGTGAAGCAACAGAATTTTTCTCTGTAGCACTGTGTCCACTAGCTGTGTAGTCCACCTAGCCTTCTGTATAGTGCGTCTTGGGAGATCTTTCCCTTGATTCGAGCATGAAGCTGTTCGCTTACATCTACTGTTCATTTAGAGTAGCTCTGGCTCTTTGAGGCATGCTAGGTATGTAGTGATATCAGGCAAATGTGTCAGGGAGAAGGATGTGATTTTATGTGATGCAGTGATGATACTCTATGTGTTCTTAAAAAATGTGTATCATTGCTCCTCCATTCTTGAAGTGGTAGTGTCAGTTATTTTAACAAATTTATAAATACCTACCTAAATAAACATGAATTCATTATCCAACATGACATGTGTCAGATGTACTTGTGGTGAATGACAGGGTGCACCACTGCTGCATAACTGTTCCCCAAACCCTAACTTAAGTACCTGACCCAATGAAAGCATAATCAGACAATTGTATCAGTTGATGAAATGTAGACCTTTATGGTGCATAGCATAGGCACATGGGTAACAATCCTTACACAGCTTGCATTAACGTTAAATTTATGTGCCAGTTTTTATCACTCTCATTTTGTTTTTATAACATCTTATAGCATTTAGTGGTTGTGAGATACTGTGGGGTGCCATTGTAACCTGCCTTTGGGCTCAAATCTCCATATATTCTTAACCTCCTCCTCTCCTTCTGAACAATGTTTGTGCCATTATGACCCATTCTTTTATTTTATGGAATAGATGACTACCAAGATGCCCCTGTAAGTAAGATACTACACTTCATTTTAAGTGTAGGATTGTTTAGGAGTTGAAACAGGGGGATGCACAATAGATCATTGAAGGTTGCAGTGCAAGGGCTGGTCTAGGCTTACCCTTTATGGACTCATTCCTTCATGACACATTTTGAGACTAAAACTGATCATTCTGTAGACATACCAAGGCTTACTTCCAAGCAGATTTATAAAACAGAGCTTGTGAAAATCTGTATGGATGCATTCCTGATGCTTATGAATTTTAATTTACCTGTTATAGTACTTTTCTCCCAACAATATGTGAATTACCTAGCATTAAGTTATTTTATTTCCAGATATTGCTTTAATGAAGCATCTCCTTTTATAAATTGTTAGTGCTTTTACCAGAATAAATATTGTTAAAACCGGGGTCTTATTGTGATTAAAACTCATTTAACGTTTATATAAATGATGTAAATCCAGAAGATTTTCATTGTTTATTTCTGAAATTGATTGCATTGCAGTTTTGAATATCTGTATGTTATCTTCTAGGTCGAATCCTTTGTGATTGATCAGGCAGAGTTGGACGAAGAGGCACGGCTTGATACATCCAAATTCCTTTTGTCACCAGAGGATACTGATCATTCGGTAGACCCAGAAACACAGGCAAGGTTGGAGGCCTTGCTTGAAGCTGCAGGTAATAGTGCTTTGTGTATCGTTCCCACTCCTATAATTTTACCTTTAGTTTGTGGCAGTAAAGAGAAAGAGGAAAAGAATTCTGTTGCACTTTAATGCAAGACATATTGCTGTGGAGCTCTAAGAAGTATTATTGAATTGTTTATACGTATATTTTTGTCTGTGTGTGCACAAACTAGATTTTACATTTTTTAAATTCAGACTTATTCACTCGGAGATTTATTAAATTTAACAATTTATTTTGAAGGCATAACTCCAGTTTGAAATGAAAGTTCTTCTATTATATTTCAGCATCCCGTTGTATTGAGGGATCATCCTATTTTTTTACTAACATATCCGTCAATAATACGACTTTAAAAAGACATTAGGAATATGTTGTTCACTAAAAATGCATTTTAATACTATGACAGTTCAAATCAATAAAATGCCCATAGGCCTTTACATAGTACATAAATTTACACATTAAAAGTGAATGTTCACACTCCTGAAATTGTCTTGGTTTCACATGTATTTTTACTAATTTATATTCACAATATGTTTCGGCCTTATTGGGCCATCATCAGGTGAATTCTATCCTTGAGTGAGACCACTCACACGAGAAACAAATACAGTGCAGTGGTCTCACAATGGACTCTCTACCACACACACGCACGCACGCACACACACATTTGTCCTGTTGCTGCTGGAAGCATCTATCTGATCTAGTTTCTAGAATCATATCTGCTCCATTGCATTGTGTTCCCATTTTCCCATTATATATTTTGCTTTTTATATTTTTTAAGGAGACAAAAAAGGTCACGTGGAGCCTATCTGATGAATGGGAGGCTGGCTCACTTGTGAAATACTGTGTCTAGCTGAAAATTGTTGCACACTTAGATGTGAATAGACAGGTTCATTCAAGGACTGCCCCATTGTGTTTGTTAATTGTTTTAAATAATATGAGTGCTTAATGGTTGTCGCAGGCTGAATCAGGTTAAAATATGTGAGAAGTTACAAGCTTGAAACTTTTCACCACTAAGCTTAATTAAGAATTTATTCCTGTATTTTAAAACATAGAATTGAATTTGTTTTTGATTGAGATACTGGAAAGTTGTCTACTGGAGATGGAAAACATTTAGCAAATTCTGAATTGAATTTGTTTTAATTGAGGTATTGGAAAGTTGTCTACTGGGGATGGAAAACATCTAGCAGATCCTGAAGTTCTTCGGCGCTTGACTTCGAGTGTGTCCTGTGCGTTGGATGAAGCTGCTGCAGCTCTTACTCGTATGAGAAGTGAGAATCCACGTCCACAAACTGAAACAAGGTATAACCATGATGAAGCTGATGTTATTAGGTTAGAGGCCTTGCAGATTTTGTTTTATAATATATTGCCGTTACTGTTATATGACTTGAATACAGATCCTTATTTGTGCAAGAATAATATTTCCCAACAGATCTTTAGTGGAGGCGTGTTCAGATGGCGATGTTGGAACAGTGAGAAAGCTACTGACAGAGGGTCGCAGTGTGCACGAAACAACTGAGGAAGGGGAAAGCTTGCTGTCCTTAGCCTGTTCTGCAGGGTATTATGAATTAGCGCAAGTAAGCAGTTCATTTCCATTCTGTACTTTGTCATGATACAAAAGTGTTTCATTTCACCCTGAAGCATGAAGCAGGAAATGAAGGCTTACTTTTCTGCACCATCGTGCCCAAATATATTGGTGACACAGTACTGCTGAAATGTAAGAATATTACCCAAAATGAGGTGTTTTATAAGCAGCTGCCCTATTCAATAACCAAATCAGAAATAATAGATAAATTTTATATATTTTTTTTTTTAGGATTTTTCACCTTTAACATAGGTTTCATATTCTCATCCATCACTGTTCATCATTCTTGTTTCCAGTCGAATCATTTCCTTCAGTTCCTTGTAACTGGTGTCCCCCTTCCAAGCTTTCTAGCTGTGGTGCATTCTGTTGTTTTGACTGTGTTCTCTGATTCTTCTTGCATGGTTTTTATTTTGTATCCTCTGAACATGATTTTCTTTTACTTCTGTTGGTTTTCTATTTCTTTTTTCACTCTGTTCTACCTGTTCTGTTGTAAACATTTGTGGGAGGACATGTCAGTTGCTGAGAAATGGAGGTTTGTATGGGTAAGTATTGTAGTTTGAAGAAAAGGTACTGTAATTGCATTTGATAAGCTTAGTTTACCTTTGTGTACACAGATGAAGTACAGGGAAGGATTCTTTCCAGGTGTTGCTTGCAATGAATGCCAATGTGGAAGATCGTGGTATCAAGGGAGATTGCACTCCTTTGATGGAGGCTGCATCAGCTGGGCATGTGGACATTGTTCGCCTTCTCATTGCCCATAATGCTGATGTCAATGCACAGTCTTCATCAGGTAAGTCACATTTCAGTGTGTACTATATGTGGCACTTGTTGCTGGCCTGTTACACAAGGAAAAAGATACGAGGTGTTTAAATATGGGAAAGGTGAAGTAACATGGAATTGGAGAACATAGCATAGAGAGAAGCTTTAAAGTTTATAGTGTTCATGTAATATTGTTGGGTTGATTAAATGGGTGATAAGATACAGGAAACATGAAGTGTGCATGGGGAGAAATAAAGTGTATACAAAAATTTACATGGAAAGCCAAATGAAAGAAAACTCTTCAGCAACTTTGATGTAAATGGGAGATAATATTGAAATAGATCCTGGAGATACAGAGTATGAAGGTTTGAACAGGCCTAGGCTGGCTCAGGATAAGGTGCAGTGGTGGGCTTTGGTGAACACAATGACAAACCTATGTGGTCCATAAAAGGAAGGAACTTTTTGACCATCTGTGTAACTACAGTAAAACTTCAGTTTTAAACTTTTGAAGGAACCACCTCAAATAAATGTAAAATTGAGGAAAGTGTATAATCAAGGATGTGAACGTGATAAAACAATGAATCGCTTTATGCTATAACTTTTTCATATCGTTTAAAATATGCGTGTTTGAACACAATAAGAGTGTAAATGCAAGTATGGTAACCTACGTGTCATGTTATATCTTTAACCAGTCAAGCACTTATTTGTGTCTTTTTCTTCAGCTCTTAGTCTGTGAGGTTCAGAAATTTTCATAAGCGTTGATATGCCCATTCTATCAAGACTTCAACATGAATGAAACAGCACCAGTGTTTCATTGAATCTTCTGAAGTAGAACATTGTGAACATGAAAATTTGGTGAACTTCTGATATTAGGACTTGAAAATTGAGGTGCAAATTTAGGAAAAATATATCTTCAAGTAAACATAAAATTAATAAAAATTAACTGAAAGCTGCAGTTATAATAAAGTTGTAATGCATGCCAGTTTTCATACTGTCCGTGGAAGTGATCATGAAAGTTAAATGTCATAACTGAAATTGATGTGAGCAATATATTTTCATTTCATACTGCAACTTTTTTATATTTTTGAAGTGATATTTAATTCCTTGGTTTTCGTGGCCTTGTGATATACCACTCAATTTTTGTTTTTTACATGAATAGTGTAGCACAGCACATAGCTTGTTCATTGCGTATTTCAGCTCTTGACTACTTGTGGGCCAGATTGCTATAGAATTTGATCAGGGCTCATTGAATCATTTCATGGTTTTGGAATCAGAAGTAATGACAGTCAAGACTCTTGTAATCTTAACAGTCCCTGTCCAGATACTGAAAAAGGATTTGACTCTGAAGTATTACTTGTTACGGAGAAATGCTTATGTTAATTTGAGTGCAGTGTGTTTTTATTAAATGTCAACACCCTGAAGGTATTCATAGTACAAGGTCTTGGACAAGAAGTCATCTTAGTGTCACATGTAGGCAGAACTGTTACCCTGATTTGTTATTTTACTATACAGTTAATTTTCTTGGTTCTTTATGTAGTGTAATCTGCTATTAGAGAAATTTGTGCTGAATGCTTCTATTTTAAGATTCTCATGGAACTGTTAATTTATAGTTTTTGTCTTCTGTTGTGTAACTAAGGCCTATAAAAGCTTATCATATCACCTTAACTGGCCATACATTAAATTATTGCAGGGGTCCATTTGTGTGGTTCACCTGTCTGAGAATTGCACTTTTCATTAATAAATAACAGTTGTGGTCAGAGTTCCTGGCTACAGATCCAGAGGTGTGGGTTCGATTGCCGTTGCTACCAGATTTCTTGAGATGTAGTGGGAATTGTCCACTCAGCCTCGTGAGGAAAATTGAGGAGGTATTTCAAGGAAATAGCGGCTCTGGTCTAGAAAACCGAAATTAACATCAGTGGGGATTCGTTGCACTGATCACGTAACACACTATCCGCTAAAGTTGCCACAAACTTCACCGACAAGTGGCAGTCACTTGGCCGGTATAGTTCACTTGTGGACTAGAGCCATGGAGTTTTTTTATTTCAGTTAAAGCGTGGCCACCACCAGCCCCATAGAACTGTAAGATTTAAAATCCCCCGTTCTCATGCCATTAACTGTTACCCTGTAATTAAAATATGGATGCCAACCCTGTAGAACTGTAAGATTTAAAATCTCATATTCCTCGATGATAAACTGTTACCCTGAAGTAGAAATATGGCTGCAAACCTGTATTAATGGGAGATTTGAAACTTCTTTTTTTCTGCTGATAAAGTTTAAAATGATTGCTTCATATTATTAGGCAACACTCCCTTGATGTATGCATGCGCTGGTGGCCATGAGGAAGTGGTTCGGACTCTACTTGAGGCTGGAGCTAATGTGGAGGACCATAATGAGAATGGGCACACACCACTCATGGAGGCTGCCAGTGCAGGTCATGTTGGCGTTGCAAAGGTAATTATACCTGAAGCTTATTCCTATGTAACACCATGCTAACGGTGGGGTGGTAGCTTCTGGCTCAGGAATCCTGCAGCTTGGTTACATGGGTTCTAAGTAATGGTAATGTCCTGGTATTTTCACATTCATAAGTTGACTTCTTTAGGGGTTGAGATAGGTAAAGATAGGTATCCCTGTAACAGACCTTGGAGGCCCATAAGGTTGTGAGATGTTGAGGCTCCCAAATTTTCAAGACGATTGGCTCACAGATGGTGGTGAGGTTGTCAGGCGTACACACTGGCTGCCCTTTACCCCCAGAAATATTCCTGGTAGTCATTTCTGTTAGAGGCTGAGCTAACCCCAGAGCGATAGTGCTGCTGGAAGAATAGGTAAATTGAGAAATTACACCTCATCAGGATTCGATTCTGTGACCTTCCGGCTTGTAGCATAGTGCCTCAATCAACTACACTGCCATGTGCCTCCTGAGATAGGTAAGGCATGAGAAGAATCTGTACTATTTCTGGCCAGTCCTGTGTCTGACAGCTTTAAGACTGAAAACCAGTGCCATTCTTTAGATCACCAAGAAGCATAATTTGCATATATTAAATCTTTGGAAACAAGCATGAAAGGATTGATCATGTGTGACAAACTTACATAGATAGTCTTATTGCAGATCCTACTAGAACATGGAGCTGGAATTAACACTCATTCAAATGAATTCAAGGAATCTGCTCTTACATTGGCATGCTATAAGGGGCATTTAGATATGGTGCGTTTTCTTCTGGAGGCTGGAGCTGATCAGGTATATTCAGGATCTCTTTTATAAAGTTTTTGTTGACAGCAAACTATGATGTCAAACATTGTAATTTTTGTTTTGTTTAATTTTGACTTTATGTAAGTCATTCTAGGATTTATGGACAACTAGATGGAGCCCATTAAAATTTAAGTGGTGGGTCTGTACACTACAGTAAACTCATGTTATCCAGTATCCAAGCATCCAGAATTCACATGCAGTCAGAAAGTATTTCAAAGAAAAGTTACAATTTTTATAAAGTTATTTCAAAATCAAAGTGATGATTTATGTACACCCACCACCATGCCATAGCTCAAGCGGTTAGTTGCTGGCTTCCCACCGTGGCAGCCCAGGTTCGATCCCGGGTCTGGTCAAGTGGGATTTGTGGTGGACAAAGTGGCGCTGGGCAGGTTTTGGGCAGGTTTTCTCCGAGTACTTCGGTTTCCCCTGCCAATCTTTATTCCACCACTTGCTCCACAATCACCCTCACCTGTCGTCTGGGACTGGTACTATAGGCCAGAAGTGGCCGCAGTACAAGGGACTTAGTCCCACCCCACTAGCAATAAAAAAGAATACACCCACCACACGGAAGTTCTCTTCCACCACTAGTAGCGTTGCTCATCATTTTCTGTTACATGTGTGTCATTGCAGTCATAGTGATGTGTGATTATTAGGGACTGGATTTTAATGCAAATGCATATTTCTTTCTTGCAACCAGAAAGTATGCTTGTTTGGATATATGTATGAATTACTTCATTTCTTAAATTTTGGACATGGTTTGATGGTGCATATGAATGCATATTTTGCCCGTTCTATGAATAAGCATCATATTTTTGAAGATCTCTATTTATACTGCATATTTCCTTTTTAAAATGTTTATCATATATATTTTTTAATTTTATATTCAGATTTTCAATCATGGTCATGTGTATACAATTTTTCTTTTCTGTATTAGAATATGTTGCATATTTGACTCAACATTTCACCATGATTCATGTTTCTGATGCAGTACCCAGGACGGGACTTTCCCGATCCCTCTACTCGTAACTTGCCTCATCTGCGTACCATCATAGTGGCCGCAAAGGGATTAATCAGAAGCGTTCACATGTAGTCGCTATCAACATAATACTGTTCAACTGATGAGGGACGTGACTTACTTATTTCCAAAGTCTCCATGAGGTTCGTTACGCTTCTTCATTTGAAGCTGGGCGCCATTCACATTAGTTGTGACTAGTCTGTAGTTAAGTTTGTTTAGCTTTCTGTAGTCCCGAAAGTGAAAGGAAGTCAGAAAACTAAACTACAGCTGTATCAGTGGTAGTTCAAAGGAGAGATGATAAGTATGGATAATGAAATTCTTTATTGCTGAGTGTGTGAGAAAACAGTTTTTTGTGAGAAACGCTTTCAAATGCTGCAGCATTTGAACACTAATATACACAAAGAGAATATTAAAATTAAATCCATGAGAAGTGCTCCTGTTCAAAAATTGCGTAGTGAATTATCTAATAGTTTTCACAGTTTTCCTTTGATTAATGCGAAGCCCTTTTAGCGGCAGATATTCCGCTGTGGAAACTAACCAATCCTACTCTGAGAAACTTCATAGAGAAGTATACACAGTGCAAAGTGCCGGATGAATCTACTGTGCGCAAAAATTATGTGAAGCTGTGTTACGATCTTACAGTTGAAAGCATTAGAGATAAGATTCAAGATAATTTTGTGTGGGTGTCAAGCGACGAAACACAAGATTGTGAGGGACGGTTTATTGCAAATTGTATAGTTGGATCCCTTAATAACAATCTACCCCATGTCTTCTTGTGTAGAGCAATTTGAAACCACAAATAGCCCCGCAGTTTCCAAATTTTTTATCAATTCCATGAATTTACTATGGCTGAATTGCATTCAGTATGAGCGCGTATTGCTCTTTGTGACTGATGCCACAAGTTATATGATGAAAGCCGGTACTGCTCTTAAAGTTATATTTCCAAATATGACACATTTGACTTGCCTTGCCCATGGGTTGCACCGTGTTGCAGAAACAATTCGTGCAAATTTTCAGCTTGTTGACAAGTTGGTGTCTTCTGTGAAGAAGGTATTTGTTAAAGCGCCATACAGAAAAGAAGTCTTTATAGCAGTAGCACCGAGTGTTCCACTTCCGCCAGAACCACTTTTAACATGTGGCACGTGGCTCTGTGCAGCGAGTTATTAAACCGAACATTTAGAAACAGTTAGGAATGTCGTGAATACATTTGATCCCAAAAGTGCAGCATCAATTCAAATTACCCAAGATGTACTAAATAACGCAGAACTAGAAACTAATCTTTCCTATATATCTGCTCACTTCTCTCATCTTCCATCCGCCATTTCCTCACTGGAGGCAAGCAATCGCAATACTACTTTGTATCAGTCATTAAGTGTGTTCAAAAACACTGTTTCCAAATTGAGTTCGATTCCTGGAAGAGTTGGTGAAGTAGTGAAGGAAAAAGTACACATCATTCTTTCAAAAAATCCGGGATATGAACAAATTTGTGAAATTGAAGAAGTTTTATCCGGTAAACATACTGAACTGCCAAGTAAAAAATCACTAACAGTGGAGCAAATAGCGGCTTTTGTGCATGTGCCCCTAAGTTCCTGTGAGGTGGAAAGAAATTTTTCCACTATAAGGACATCTTACGAGACAATAGGAGTAAACTAACTATGGAAAACCTAAAACATTTAGTAATTGTTGCATGGTTTGTATTTATTTATTGCAAGTAAATCATTCAGTGGTTACATAAAATGAACTTAAATATTGATTTGTTGGTCTTAAAATAATGTAAAATCAATTTTAATAATTGGTATAAATTTTTATGTGCATATTTTAGTGCATATTTCGGAAGTTTTTCATTCATAGATGCATACGTATTTAAGGGATTATTAGTGCATAAAAATCTGGTCCCTAGTGATTATACTTGAAGCTAATTGTGTTTGTGATTTTGTTACGGTATATCTGAAATGTTTCACCATTAATTTGCTGTGTTATCTAAGAAGACTCCCATGTAGAAACTGAAGTCAAAATATGTTTTGACTTGAAACAGAAAATGTAAGTATTATAAGACTGGAAAACAGCAAAAATTGGGTTTTATGAGAGTTTTCATTATGCAACTTGCGGATTTGTGTAACCAGAACATCCTGTTCATCGTACTTGCCAACTTTTATTGTACACTTGAATTACAAGCAAGGAGCAAGGGAAAATATAAGCCCCAGACATGTTTACTCTGAATATAATATGTAATCTGAAGAACTGAATAGGATGGTGTCATTTTTATCTCTTTCTGAAAGAAAATGGGTTTTTCTTAACATATTTATCTGACTCTGAGGAAAATTCAAACAGGAATGACACCCCTTCCCTTTACAATGAAAAATTTTATGGGAAAGAATGTTGTTTGCCCAAATAAAACTGTTCAAGTACACACCTCTGGGAAACATAATTTTTTCCCCCCCATTTCTTTGTATTGATCCATTTTAGGACTTAGTAATTGTTTTTGTCTCTCTTCCATTCATGCACATTGATGCCAGAAGTACTGTATCTCTTTGATGGTGTATAATTAATTTCTTCAGTGTACCTGATGACTTTTCATTTAAAATTGACATCATGTACAGTTTGCAAGGATGAAGGAATATGTGAATTATGTTCCTTTTTCTTCCATTTGTCTCCCATGATTGTGTTACATGATTTATTACATTTTTTTAAATAGGTACAGTTATTGTAGACACTTCAGAAAATAACTCTTTGGAATATGTAACCTGATTACATGTTGACTGTTGTTATTAAATCTGTGTACTGCACCTCAAATAAGTTCATAAAAATTGGTACAAAGTATCACTGTACACCCGTAAACTAAATAACTGGTAACGGTTGCCATACCACCACACGTTATGAGAATGTTTTCGAACAGAGTTTTTCTTCAAGTGTCATTTTCTTTTGGTTGACATTGCACATATGAATTCATGTTCATCTGGTGTTGCATCATATGAAGTGTATACCTCAGAGGCATAATTGAAGCTTCAGAAATACAGAACCGTAAATTTCATATGAGTGTGGCAAGAGAGATTAACAAAAGTTGAAAAACTGCTTTTGTGAAATTCTTATATTGAAATGATTATCATGTGGGTATGGAACTTCTTAGATATACCACAATTCTGTGACATCTCTTTTCCCGGAAGATGTTTAATCATATTCATCATACATTTTTATTAATTTGCTGGAACAGTACTGCCAGCTATTTTTGAATGATGATAAAACTATAGGAATCTCATCTTATAGTTCGTTAAATATGATATTAAATTTGTTTTCATGATGTAAAATTAGAATCATTCCTTTTCTTCCTAGTCTGTTAAATTACCTTATATTGTTAAAAGTATACTCACAGTATTCTTGTGTGTGAGACTGCTGTTTCATTCTGCCACAGGAACATAAAACTGATGAGATGCACACGGCGCTGATGGAAGCATCAATGGATGGCCACGTAGAAGTTGCAAGATTATTGCTGGATTCTGGAGCTCAGGTATTTTATACCCTTGGAATACAAATCTGGTTTTGGTATTTTACTCCAGTTCAGTTATGGTTGCCATTTAACTTGTAATATAATCTCACTCTCACATCTGTTTATGCATGTAATCTTGGGATTTGGAGGAAACATTGTGCAAGCACTTTATATCGTCTGTGGTTGTATACAGTCCTTTGTAAATTGCTGTTCAGTATGACAAATTTGGTCACAACCTCTTATGCCCACATCCTTTTCAGCTTATTCACTAATCATTCAATCATTCAGCCATTCAGTGCTGTGTAGTCAGAACTACTGACAGCATCATTAAATAAATAAAAACATAATTTTCTCTTTAGAGTAGTAGGAAAATAATTGAATGAGTGAATTATATAGAAATTACTTCACAATGAAATGTGTGAAGGTGAAATTGTTCATGCGTTTAACTAAGCCCTACCGCATGGGGATGTATTGGGGAGTGGATGTATAGATATGTGCATTCTTGACCTCAGTACCAGTGACCAGTGAATGGTCAGCTTCATGACCCTGCCCCCCCCCCAATGGAAAGAATATGTAGTACTCATTTGATGGGAGAATAAGTGAGCCCCAGAGCCAGTTTGAAAGATGTGGAGAGGAGAGAAATCCTGCCCCTACTGGGACTCAAACTCTGACTCCTCTACCTTCCAGTTCATAGCCAGTCACTATACTGACTGCCATCCCAGCTCCTGAATGAAATGTGTAGATTTCTGAATTATATAATGGTGTGATGGTGCAAATGAATATGATACACAACTTCATAAATGGTATATCAGTTAGTAGAGAATATATGTTATGTGTAATAGCTTCCATTGATTTGTTTGTCAACAGGTTAATATGCCAACTGATAGCTTTGAATCTCCCTTAACGTTGGCTGCTTGTGGAGGGCATGTTGACCTAGCAATGCTGCTCATAGAAAGGGGTGCCAACATTGAAGAAGTGAATGATGAGGGCTATACACCACTTATGGAAGCTGCTAGGGAAGGTCATGAAGAAATGGTTGCTCTCTTGCTCAGTCAGGGTAAGCTTTATTCATCCTGCCTTTCATCTTTTGTATAGAATTATGCAGTGTAATGATCAGTCCTGTTTGTTATGGTTCACAGTGTCTAAAAACATGCATGGTTACTTGGTTTTATTAGTCCATGATTTCTTCCCTCCACATTATCAGTTTGTATCATCATTCTGTCATTGAGCACTATGAAATGAATTAGAAAGTAGCGCAGGAAATTCCTTTCACAAATGACTTTACTGTTTTATTGAATTGCAGGTGCCAACATCAATGCCCAAACGGAAGAAACTCAAGAAACAGCTCTTACCTTAGCATGCTGCGGTGGATTTACAGACGTGGCTGACTTTTTAATAAAAGCTGGAGCAGATATTGAATTAGGAGCCTCTACACCTCTTATGGAGGCTGCTCAAGAAGGACACCTGGAACTTGTCAAGTACTTATTCAGTTTGTTATTCAGACTAATTGTATCATATAATTATGTCATTCTCTGTGTTTATAAACATATCATTACCCATGGTTTTATTTGCTGTCTTTCGGTGAAAGTTGTGAATTTCATTACTGTATTTCTGCTCTAAAGTGTTACTGTCTGTCGGTTATAGTATTTTTTTATTTCTGTGTATTAGAGTCTGTATCTGCACCAAATGTCAACACTGTTTAAAGTTTGCTGGAAGCATTCTCAGTTGAAACACAGGTTCCTGCTTCTGTGGCTTTTGCCTTGATGGTAGGAGGGCAGGAAACTACTTTTTCTGTTAGGCTGGATTTTGAGCTTCTGACTGTTCTGTAGGCAGGTGCCAGAACATGATGGCTCTGTAGGGCATCATGACAATATATTGGCCACTCTGAGCCATGTATCATGTAGACACCAAGTTCCCTAACCTGTAGAGTCTACACAATTGAGAGCACTTCACAGGATATCACACTTAAGATGCAAGAAGTGAACTGAAAATTCAAACAAAATCTGTCAGATTGTGAGATTGAGGTTCTTAGGTCAGTGACTGTGAAATAACTGCCTTCTTGGATATGATGCCATGTAGTCTTATAGATCGACACTTATGTTCTGGAGGTATCTGCTGCCCTTTGGGTGGAAAATTTGAAGACACTTCAGTCATGTTGTCTGAAAGGTTTCTTTTTTTTATGTCAGGTATTTTCCACATGTTTGCACTTTTAATAAACATAATCATATTTAATACAAAGCACATGATATAAGTCATAACAATGATTAAAACAGTCTCAAATTTTTAAGAGTTTTACTTCTCTAAGATTTTCATGGTTTTGCTTGATCTGTCAAGGCAGAGTAAGTGTTGAATTTGCATTAAAGGTATAAGTGAGTGTACAGTCTGCAAATAACCAAAGTTAGCAGCATCTGGTGGAAGTCACAGAAGTAAACAAACTATAGGTATGTTGATACTAAGTAAGTTAAACATATATACAAGCATATTCTGTTCAACCTAGTGATTGAAAGGTTGAAATATTGCCTGTTCGTAGATTGATGTTATATCATTCTGTCAGTATCCGAAGCCTTGATTTCAGGCACGGTAATGTATAGGGTTTGTGATCTGACTGGACTATCTTATGAAGAGTTGAAAGTCAAGTTGACTTTTAATGGGCTACAAGGCATATATACCAGAAGATAGAATTCTTGCTAACAATCTGTGTGAGGGAGATCCTACAAGATTATCTTATGTTCCCATTTTCAGGTATTTACTTGAAGCTGCTGCAGATGTCCATGCCCAGACCCAGACTGGAGACACCGCCCTGACGTATGCCTGTGAGAATGGTCACACAGATGTGGCAGACCTCCTCTTACAATATGGAGCTGACTTGGTATTGTATTTCACATTTAATTCTTTCAAGTATGCAGCTTATCTGTATGATGTAAGATTTGAGGCTTTCATGGCGGTGACTGGAGCAAGTGGTAGCGTAGTGGTCGAGATGCTACGCTACAAGCCGGAAGGTCGCGGGTTTAAATCCTGATGAGGTCGTCGGATTTTTTTCAGTTGACCTAATCCTTCCAGCTGCACTAGGCCCTGGGGTTTACTCAGCCTCTAACAGAAATGAGTACCAGGAATTAAATAATTTTCCTGGGAAGTAAAGCACGGCTGGTGTGTAAGGCTGACAACCTTACCGCCATCTTGGAGCTGATTGTCTTCACGGCCTGGTACAGGGATAGCTTTACTTTTTTTTTACATGGCGGTGACTATGCAGAATGCCGTCTTCTGGGATGTGGCACCATGTAGATATTGTGTAACATGATGTATCAGGAACGTATCACCTCCATCTTCAGGGCGTAAAAATCTGCAAGCGAGGAAGCAGTGCGAGCAGGTGGTTGCAGCAAACCCTGAAGATGTAGGCGACACGTTCCTCTGAAACATCGGTTTACGCAATATCTACACAATGCCACATTCAAGAAGCCCCCCATGTGTACCACCTTCCAAATTTCTGGAAGGCGTCGTACACCATCAGCGCGTCCACTTCTGCTCATTTATCTGTATGATGTTTGAAAATGTGATTCCTACCTCCAAGTAAACACACCACTTTGTAACACAGATCCAGCAGTTTAAGAAAGCAATTCCTATTTATTCAGTCAAAGAAAGAAAGAAACATATATGCTGTTTGAACGGAATATGAAGATTTTGGTGTTATAGAAGGGCATATGCATTTCCATAAAGAATTGATAATGTAGTTCAAATATTGTCGTTTAGCTCCACATCTGAGGTTTCCTTACGTTGGTACTGTATGTTAACAGGAGCATGAATCAGAGGGAGGTCGTACACCGTTGATGAAGGCTTGCCGGGCGGGTCATCTGTGCACAGTACAGTTTCTCATTTCAAAGCGAGCGGATGTCAATAGGCAGACAACTAATAATGATCATACTCCACTGTCCTTGGCGTGTGCCTTTGGCCACTTAGCAGTAGTGGAACTTCTGTTAGCCCAGTCAGCGGATCCTTTCCACAAGTTAAAGGTAAGTGAGGCTTTGAAAGCTGAAGATTTCAAATATATGTACATATATACGGAGTGCAACCAGAGTTGTCAGCTAAAAAAAGAAAAAGATAATAATTCAGAGTAGATCTGGTTGTGTGGGAGTATTGTTGTGTCTCTTCCAAAAATACCCACAAGTATTATCTGCCAGCCCCAACTGAATTCTTGAGCACTTTTCTTCAGTATCGATTCAGTTTTGAATATGAGTATGGATGTGGGCATTAGTTGTGCTTAGAATTTTTAGTGTGGTTGGGGGGAGGGAGCTTTAGAATTGTTTTGAAAAGAGAAACAAAAGGTCACATCCAGGCAGGAGAGGTCATTTTGAAAATATCTGTATTCTTGGGAAAGGATACTGTAAAATTCATGAATGAGGATCAGTTTGAAAATGAAGTGTTGAGAGGACCATGTGCTATCTTGACAAGGACGGCCAAAGAGATCAGAAAGTAATTACTGTAATATTTTAACGAGCAGAGAGTTCATTCACCATACCAGAAAAATTTATATCAGTGGAAATTTTAGTATGTACATTATATGAATATTATGCAACTGAAAAGAGGTAGAAAATTTAGCAATTGAATTCCCAGCATCATTGCTTTTGACTTGATGTCCCATTTTTCACAGTCTGTTACTAGTTTGCAGTATTTAATTCGGAATAAGCAAATAGTAAGTGATCTACATATGTTCAGGAAATCAAATGGTGTGTACATGCGGAAGAAAGAATATGCTTAAAGTGCATTCTGAAAGAGAAATATATTGCTCTGTGATGGTGTGTTACTTATCTGACCTTGATCACATGCAGTAGCCTGCATAAGTTCTTGTAATTCACCAGCCGTATACCAAGGGAGTGAAAGTATTAAGAAAAGATCTGTAGAAATTGATTTTAAAATAGTACAGTGGAGCTTGGGAGGAATTTTCAAATAGTTAGAAATAAGGCGGGAAAAGTCCAGAAACAATAGATTGTCATTCAACATTAAAATGTAAAGAGAACAGAAAATATCACATCTGATGCAGTAGAAAGGTTATCATTGAGAAACAGTGAAGTGGGATGTTGTATCTGAGGCCTCAAAATGCTATCAGGAGGGAAACAGGACAGTTCTGTGTAAGACAAGCCTTATGTTGTATCATCCAATATTTCTGAAGGAGGATTTCCTGATGATTAGACAGAGAGCTTCACATCACAGTTTGTAGGGGTTGTTTGTCTATATCTGTTCATGTTGGAGGCAAGACTGAATTCATGTGAAACACATTTTAATGTGGAATATTAGGATACTGAGTCATTAATCTGTCTAAATCAACTTTGAGGGTGCATCATCATCATCAAATAGTGACATAATCATTACATTGTTACTATTACAGAAATTTGTTTCCATTGTATAATCAGAACCAAAAGAGTCATACTGGAGATCTTGTTGAAAATGTAGGACTTTCCCTTCCATAAAGTTGTGTGCCCAGGGTTATTGTCATACACCCAGAGAGATCTTATACAGACAACTCTTGTGATCTGATGAAAACTACAAAATTTTTGAAGTAGGCATAAAGTCTTTAATTCTTAATGTCCTGCATGAGTGAGGTTTGTTAGGAAAACCCTCTGCCCCAGCTCCAGAGGCTGAGGCACCTACCTGTCCATCATGAATGAGGTTTGTTAGGAAAAACCTCTGTCCCAGCTCTAGAGGCTGAGGCACCACCTACCTGTCTATCGTGAATTAGATGTAATGATATGTGAAATGGCTGCTAGGTTAAGTTCCGCTTGAAAACTTTGCTGCTTCAGGACAATTCAACAATGCTGATTGAGGCAGCTAAGGGCGGGCACACAAGTGTAGTGCAGCTCCTTCTGGATTACCCCCATTCAATCATGATGGCAACTCATCCTCACAGTACAGCAGTAGCAACAGGAGTAAGTGGTGCACCTGGAGCTGTGTCAAGCACAGGAGGACTCCATGAAGTACCTGAGGCAGTGAGGGTCGTTCCCCAGGAGGATCTTCAGGTTAACACCAGTCAGAGCATGGGAGCAGCCAAGTCTTCTGGTAGTCAAGCAGGTCAGCTCTTGTTGTAGCAAAACTTTTGGAACAATTTTTGATGCTTGAACAGTGAATTAAAACTATTGTCACATCCTGGTAACATGACAAGAAGTTAATGGGTTTTGGATTAGTGGTTTATTGGACAGTTTCACCAGGCGGAATTACAGATAATTATAACGCGCTCAAATTAACTGTAAGACACAAAACAGGGTCTTCAGCGTCTGTTGAATGTCTTCCTCTAGAAAGCATGCTAGTTCACTTCCAGGCTTCACCTCTGCCTTCTTCCTCTGACTACGTTGTTTGACCTCTTGCTTCTGGCATTTTAACTGACTTCCAGTTATACCTGCTAGGCGGCTGGGGTAGCAGACACCTTCTTGAACAGTTTTGGTTTTCATTTCCATTGTAATGGTCTGCCTATATATGCATTGTTGCATGAATGTGTTTACAGTTTGTCACCCAGACAACAATGTATTCACTGCTCTTATTGTAGCAGAAATGTGACTACCTAGCCATTGTCTAGCAATGCATACCCTCTCTGACTCCAATTCCGGATTTTAGGTAGCACGTCTCATTATGTTTAGGACCAGTTGGTGTCTGAGAGCTGTTCAGAATATTTATACATTAAATGAATATTTCATTTACCAAAGATGATATATGTGTGACATATAGTACAAGTGAAGAGAAACTACAAATACATCTGTTTTTGGCAGCAGAAGAAAAAGGCAGCTTGCCAAACCTAACCATAGAGTGGGAGATAATATGAAAATGATTGTTAGAAAGGTAGCTTGTGAAGCTATAGTTTTGTTGGATAGACTCTGACATTGGGTGTTTCTGATTGTAGTGATGAATCTGTTAAGTGTATAGCAGGAGATTTCTTGGCCAGCTACTTATTTTTTAGTTGAAATGTTATTAGGGAACATTTTTGTCTCATGTTGATCAAGAAATTGCATGGTTTAGTATGTAGGCAAGAATACCTATATCACGTTGCTACAGCTCATTCAGCTTCAGTAACGTTTTCTCTGAAAATATGTGTGAGTCAGAACTTATCCCAGGTCCATGTTCATCTCAGTGTTCACGTTAGTCCATGGGCATAAACATCCATAATGTATTACCACATTGCAAACATCTGAATCTGATGTCTAAAATTGTGGTCTGAAAAGTATTATTCACATATTTAGGAAGTGAATTATGCAAGTAACTACAGTATACACGTGTCATTTGTCATATCAATATAACCAGGAACTTTCCCTGTATTTTTTAATTTTATTCTGTTGTTTTTAACAGTCATTGTGCACAAAGAAATGTTTGCATGTGTTCCATGAAATAGTGTGCATAACATTTCTCTTTATATTATTACATTTACAAGATTAATGTGTGCTTTTGAAATGGATCTTGAGTTTGAGCAATTTCCTATTGAAGATCTTACATTATTTGAACTCACATTTGTCTTGGTGTTGTAATGGTATGCATTAATTTCCACTTATTAATATTTGGCTTAAATTTTCTGTACATTAGGTCGGCTAGTAGAACATCTAGTGCAACAGAAGCAAAAGTCTGTCCTTCGGAAAAGTCGGTCTTCATCTGTGATGAACGAAAACAATTTAACCTCTCCTGAAGTCCAACAGGTATGTACTAAATGTGAAAAATGTTTTACATTAACTTCATATTGAAGTTTAGCAATTCCTCATCAGTCACAGAGGTTATATTCTTGAACAATACTGTTGTTGCCAGGACCAAAGCCTTGTGGGAGATTGGGGGTTGAGATAAGGCATGACCACTATTAACACTTATCAGAGCCCAACTAAGGTGCTAGTTTCTTCACTAGACGCAAAAAGAGACACAAGCATATTAGACATACAACATGAAAGTGTCATGAAAGTGTCCACTGCACTGGTAATGTGGACACTGAACTACTGATTTTGGATGCCATTACAGCCATGTGTCTGTTTAATGTAGATCTCATGGTGTGGAAACCACAGATTTTGTGTACAAAAATTATAAACCCATAGGTTTTGCACATATCAAAACTGGACATGTGGATACTTGAAATCTCCAGTCATTGAGAAATTGCTGTACTTACATTTATAGGAAGTATAATTAAACATTCCATAATCCATAGGTCCCTTGTTGGCCTGATATCTGCAGGTTGTTGAAGGAAAAGATGCTATATGTGTGTAGAGGACGGCTGCAGGGGTATAATATTGGTAGTCAGAAGTAGCACGTGATTGGGAGCTGGGTGTAGTGCTAAAAGAAATTCTATGTTTCCAAGTCTAGGACACAAGATTCAGAATTGGTGAGCAGGTTCTGGCAGACATAATGATAATGCACCCTAGACTTGTATTCAGCAGGTAGGGGAACCTTGTTTAATAGGAATCTGGACTTTGCAGGACCAAGTCTCAACCAAGTTCTCTGCTTTTCTGGCTAATGCTGGGATAGTAGCCTCCATCTCTTTAGATGCTGTATTACATCTGGAATTGGATGAATTCTTATATTTTGGACTCTGTCCACTGATGAGCTTTGTTTTAGTAATGAATGTTGAGCTTCCAGGTTTGGTGACCAGTGATCAGCCATTTGGTTCATTGGTCAAGTAGATGAGCTAATAAAGCCAGTGAGGTGCATATACTTGTACATAGAAGGAAAAGGGGAGAGTGGTAAACATTCCACTTCTTAGGCTCCATAGTTATCTCTGTACTAAATTAAATTTCTTGTAAGTGGAATCATTGTAATGAACATTTTCATATAGCATAAGATACGTGAAACTTTGCTGCAATCCATAATTTTTGTTTCAAACTTTAATTTAGTTTACACACACATAAATATAATACCATTTTGATACATACGAGGAGCGTTCCATATATAATGCCTCCTATTTTTTTAATGAAAACTAAAACAGATACAGAAACCATAATAATGCAGTTAAATAGAGTAAGATTTCAGCTACTTACAGTTATTTTTCCATATAATCACCACCATTCGTTATGCACTTTTGCCAGCGATGAACAAGAGCCTGTATGCCGCACTTGTGAAAGTCTGTGCCAGCAGAGGCTAGCCACTTTCTTACAGCTGCACTGACAGCATCGTTGTCTGGAAAATGGTGCCCATGTAGTCCATCTTTCATAGGCCCAAAGAGATGGAAGTCTGAAGGTGCTAAATCGGGGCTATAAGGTGGATGTGATAGGACAGTCCAATCAAACTTCGCCGTGTGCGCGGCGGTTGCCAAACTGGTAATGGGGTCTAGCGTTATTGTGTTGCAAGCGAAAGATTGTCTGTCTCTGGCCTGACTCGGGAAATGCAGGCTTTCAGCTTAGTCATTGTCGTCTTGTAGCGTTCAGAATTCCCAGTCTCACCAGGCTCGAGGAAATCCAATAAATCACACCCCGCCTATCCCAAAAGATTGTGCACATCACTTTCCTTTCCGATGGCTGTGTCTTGAACTTCTTTTTTCTTGGGGAATCCGAATGTCACCACTCCATGGACTGTCTTTTGGATTCCGGATCCTGGTGACACCACATCTCATCTCTGGTGATGATGCTGTCCAGAAACTTGTCACCTTCAGCCTCAAACTGGTGCAACAGTTCCTTACAAACTTCCATTCGATGAGTTTTATGGTCCTGTGTAAGCATCCGTGGGACCCACCTGGAACAAACTTTGCGATAATCCAGATTCCCCAACATCGTTTCCAATACATTACAGCTGATATTAAGCCATACACACAGTTCCCTGGTCATTATCTGCCGATCTGTATGGATGAGCTGATCGAGACACTGTTCATTGTGAGGAGTGGCAGCTGAGCAGGGATGCCCAGAGTGTGGCTTGTGTGCGCTTTACTTTCACCACTGTTGAGACACACTACCCACCGGCTCACTGTGCTGACATCCACTGCATTGTTTCCGTACACCTTTAGCAAGTGTTGATGGATGACAATGGGTGCAATTTGTTCAGCAGTGAGAAACTCAATAACACATCTCTGTTTCATACACTCTTCTATGTCAGACACCATTTTGGTAGACTACTCTGCTGTTGCTATCTGTTGCACGACAACCAAACTAACAGTACATTGGCGGGAAGGTTCAACCTTTACTACAACACCACCAACATCCAGCTCAGACGTTACATATTAACACAAAAGAATAGGAGGCATTATGTACGAAACACCCTTCGTACATTAAATTCCAGGCTTTTGTTTATGCTGTTTCCTTTTCATCATGGCTGGGTTCTGTTTTATTTTGTATTCTGCTTTGTTTATTAAAATCTACGTGAACTCATTTTTTAAATTTTTCATGTCAGTACATTTGAAAACCTGATGCTCATTACATAATGAAATTTCACTGCAGCAAGAGAGCTCTGTGTATGTCACCATCCCTGCTTACTATCCCTCTCACCTTTTGCAAACCCACTGACTCTCTTTACGCTTCTTTTTGGGCCTGTTCTGAGAGCATTAGCCATTTGTGTCAGTTTTAACCCAAAATCTGTCACCCTCTCTTGTTACTTCAGAACACTCATTCATTATAATTTTGATAAATATTAGTGTTTGTACTGCATATGCCCTATTTTTAGCCCTCTTTCTTCATTTTGAAAAAACTAAAGTAGGCTTATGAGGTCACCTTACTGTCTTTGTACCCCTTGCATCAACTTTTGAATGCCTGAACCATTCTGGTATTTGTATGATGGCACCTGAGCCCATCTCAGTGGCATATTTCATAAATCACTGCCATCATCTTGTGTGTGTGCTGCTAGGCAACAGCTCAGTAGACACATTCCTGCAGCGATGAATACACACAACAATAGAAGTATTGTTGGTGGCATCATATTCTGTACACTCTATATCATATCGAAGAGAGTTTGTCTGTATCCCCCTATTGTTGCTAGGCAGTGGGTCCATAAACATGTTCCCACAGCCAAGGAAGAATTGTGTGGGGTGCTGTTTGATGTGTGGTCTGCGTCATATCAAAGGAAAGTAGGAAATCAGTTCTTAACAGAACTTCTTGTACTATTTATTATGTATGTTATATCAGAAGCCACCATGTCTCTGTATTATTGTGCTTAAACTATTGGAAAAGTCTTCTTGCTTAACAGAGCTTCACAAGCATCATATTCCATTATGAAAATTAGGACCTAAATGCATCTCTTCTGTTGTAAAATGTTTTGTTAGTCTTTTATCCAATACTGTGACTGCCTCTGTGGTCTAGTGGTCAGAGTTCCTGCCTACAGATGCAGAGGTCCTGGGTTCGATTCCCGGCGCTACATGATTTCCTGAGAAGTAGTGGGTCTAGAATGGGGTCCACTCAGCCTCACGAGGATAATTGAGGAGCTGTTACAAAGAAATAGCGGCTCCGGTCTAGAAAACCGAGGTTAGCGGCCTTGGGGATCTGTTGCACTGACCACATGAGAGCCTCTATCCACAAAGTTGGCACTAACTTGGTCGATAAGCGATGGTTGCTCGATCGGTATAGATCGCTTGTAGACTACAGACCATGGAGTATTTTTAATCCAATACTGTAAACTCTTCTCTCCATGTTTCTTATTTTATAAGGCGCTGAAGTGAAAGTTAATCACTTTTGTAAGTATTACATTTTGGCATGTATGGTGCTGTGCAGGTACGAAACCAGCCGCTTGGAGACAGTGTTACTAGTCTTGCACCTGTTAGTCTCTTGGCGAAGGATGATAGTAATATTCTTGACAAGGGCAGTACTGCAGATGCAGAGAAGACAAGGAAGCAGCAACAGTGTGCAGAAAATACGATTATTCAGAAGCAGGCAATCCTGGAAGAACTACAGGTGAGTGTATATTAATGTCATATAATCTTAAAACCTTCTCATTGGAAATAATAAACCAGATTGTTATTTTGTTTGTTTTCACAATATCTTGGTTTAATCATGTCACTTGAAAAAAAAGATGTATTTTGGAATTTGGCTTTATAGCATTTATATCTAAAAAAAATGGAAAAATATGATTCTTCAAATGTATGATATTCCAGGCTTAATGTGGGAAAGGTGGAATTGTCACTGGAAATTTTTAACATCATAGACGCTTATTAGTGGGAACATCTTGTCTAGGATTAACTGTACTTCAATATATTATATCTTGATAAGATGCAACTTTTAACTGGATAAGCATTTCAGCAACACCATCTGATGATGTTGGCCGTGTCTAAATTGTCTTTGAAGATACATCATACCTTGAGTAGGCAGCTTTGTGAGGTAAGGTAAGGCAAAGTTGCCCCTGTGCTTAACTAATTAAGCACTACGCCATAAAGGCATATGGGGGAGTGGATGTATAGATCCACATTTTCTTGACCTCAGCACTGTTTGGAGGTGAGTGGTCAGCTTCACGCCCTGGCTGCTTTACCCTGGGGAAAGAGCTGCTAATATCCATTGGATAGATGGCTGGGTGAACCCCCAGAGCCAGTCTGGACAACGTGGAAAATAGAAAAATCTTGATCCTACTGGGACAGGAACTCTGACCCCTCAGTCGTTCAGCCTGTACCCAGTCACTATACTGAGTGAGCTATCCTGGCTCCAAAGCAGGCAGCCTTGTAGAAGAAAGAAGTCTGCTAAAAGAGAGATCTGGTCTTGTGATTTTGGTTTCCATTTTATATTCAAAATAAGATCTCATAGCTATCTAATGTACATGTAATGATCTGATGATGCACCCTCACAAATGTTTTGGAAATAGACCTGTTGCGTTTCACCATCGTGATTCCTTCTGTGTTTTGCAGAGGGTTGAGCGTGAGTTGCAGGAGAAGGGACCCAGTCAGCTGCTCCTAAGTTCTCCATTGCCAGATGGTAGTACCACAGCACAGTTTGCCCAACTGGGCATGGCTACTGTACCTGGAGTTTCAGTTTCAACTGCCACACTTGTTCCTGGAGTGCAGCCATTGGGTTTAAACATCGACCTAGCCTCGCAGTCACTAGCTACGCAAGGTACGGAATTGTGTAATCATCTAAATATGAACACTTATTATAGCTAAGTAATTTGCTTTGTTGCTCACCTGACCTTATAACTTAGTTACCAAGTTTTTAAAATTTCTTTAACTGAGCTTTGTGCTTCAAGGGATGAAAAGGAATGTTTGGTGAATAAAGTTTGTGTTGTGTCGTGATTTAACTATCTTGAGGTAGTATTGCACTTTTAGTGGTCATAACAATAACAACATAGCTCCATACAGTGAGGGATATGTACGTGTAAGTAGATAAGTTGTAAATATAAGGCACTGCCTTTATAATCCTATATACTTTAATTACTTCAGAACTTTATTAATGTAAGAATGAGAAAATGCATTTTTACTACATCTGTAACTTCTGCTCTGACAGGAATGGTTTGCGGTTCTGCCATTTCTGGACCACTGTTCCATCCTGGAACAAACACCACCATCTCGGTCCACAATGCTTTCTATACTGGGAAGGTCCAACAAGCACAGCAGCAACTCCCAAGTGCTGTAGCCAGCAGCACATGCATACAACAGCAGGCTTTGATGGCACCTGGAGAAATGAGTGGCAGTGGGAACTTTGTATCTGTGGCCCCTGGTGTGTACTCCTCCTCTCCACCTTCCACCCAGGTCCAGCAGCAACCAATTTCAACCTCGCAGCCTCTTACTACAAGTGCTGATGTATTGCAGGTTTGTACACTACATTTTAGTTAAAGCGAAATACAGTCAACTCTCGATTATCCGGCGGCGGATTAACCAATTTGCGGCTTAACCGGGGCTACTGAGGCTTTTTTGAGGCTTATATGTTGTTTAATATTCATTCACTTTTGTTTCAAATGGTGAGTTGTAACACTATTTTCGCACTAGTGTGAACCGAGCTCTGCCATCTCACAAATACCCAGTTGAAAATATTTGTGATTTTAAGTGTCAATATCGTTACTTTTTTTTTTAGGCAACTGCCATTAGTGATCGACCAAAAGCTAAACCGACAAAGACTCAAGGGAAAAATAATCGTAAGGCCTATCAACCGGTACAACAGCAATTGCAGCAGTCACAGCAGCAACAGCACGGACAACATTTCCACCCATTCCCTTACAGCCATGAACTTCCACAGCAGGTACCTACACAAAGAGGCTGAATGTGCCTAGTGGTAATGATGGATCTTTGGTAGACTTGAAAGGATTCTGACGATGGTGTATACTGTACTTCTTTTGGCTTATTTTGGACTTCACCCATCGTCCGGTATATAAAAAAGACAAAAAAAAAAAGACCAGTGCCACTGGTCCAGTGATTGAGGCTAGCTCTTTCTAAGGGGCCCAACTGAGTAGGTTAAACCTTCCCTATACACCTGAAGACGGAGACAGATCCAGTCTCCGAAACGTTGTGATTTTTTGTCTTTTTTATATACCGGACGATGGGTGAAGTCCAAAATAAGCCAAAAGAAGTATGGATCTTTCATGTTATATTTGTGTGTACATGCCTTTTATACAGGGAGTAAACAAATATATATTACAACACTGTGGTAGATAGATGGGTTCAGACTGATCATATTTTGTTAATACACCCATGTCTGGAAACACTTCCTTTTGGCACTAAGGGTCACAGAATTTTTGAAAGGATGCATAAATTTTAGGGGATGTTGTTGTTGTTTATGTTATAAAAGTTGCTCAAAATGGTGGCCGCTGACTTCATTGCATGTTCTGCACCGCCTGGCTACATTATGCTGAACTCTTTCAAAGATTCTGAGCATTTCCTGGATGGTTCCAGCTGCTACTGCAATTCTTGCCACAAGATCATGTTGTTTCTCCACTGTAGTCTCACACACCAGGCTTTGCATGTACCCCCAGAGAAAGAAATCCAGTGTAGTCAAGTCGGGGGTGTGAGGGGGTCAGGTTATTGGGCCTCCATGTGCAATTCATCTGTTACAAAAGGTTTCATCAAACTGCTGACAGACAAGTGCAATGTTCTGGGGCGCAGTCATGCTAGAACCACATTTCATGACAGACTTCCTGCAGCTCCAGTAAGGTCTCTTGGAGAAATGTTAGGTAAATGTCACCAGTAAGCCACAGAGGTAAGAGGTCAGGGCATCCTCCTTCACATTTCAGAGGCCCTAATGTATAAGAAAATGTTTCTGGGCATGGGTGTAATAACAAAATATGATCATATTGAACCCATCTATCTACCACAGAGCTTTGCAAGATATATTTGTTTACACTCTGTATACTTACATTTTTACTCAAATGTTCATTACCTAATAGTAATATATGATAGGATCCTGCTGCACTTCATTTAGCATCAGATGGTTTCACAGTCTCGTGTGCAGCACAACTTTCTATATAACTTACTAAAAGTTATTCACTTCAAAAGTTTTACATGTCATATAGATTTCAACTTATTAAAAATTACTCACTACATGTTTTGATCTATAAGGTCATTATCAGATGTTGTAAAATTATAAATTATAAATGAGGAACCTACTCTGCTTCCATATCATGGTTTTTTGTCTTAACTATGCAGTCCCTTCTGTGTGCATGTGTGTTCAGAGTGGCTGATTGTTCTGCCTGTTGTGTTATGCTGCACATCCCTGTTAACTAATGTAATATATTGTGAAATTATTTGATCTGTTTCAACAGATCTTACAACAGCAGCATCCTCCTCCTCCACCGCCCCCACCTCCACCGCCGCCTCCACCTCTGCCGACACAATCAGTACAGCAGACACTTGACCAGGAAAGTCATCTTCAGCAACAACAACTTGTGTCTCAAAATCAGCAGCCCATCTGCAAGAGTAACCTGCAGAACCCAGCCGTGTTGACACGGTCCCAGCTGATGGCCCATCTGCAGCAGTTGGATCCTAGCATTTCTCCAGCCACTCAGCAGCTGACTCAAGTGCTGCAGCAGAAACACCAGCTGCTGAGGACCCTACAACAGCAGGTATGCTTTGGTCACAGTATGGGAATTCACATGTGTAAATGATAGTGTGACACCATTGTTGCACTTTTGAATGTATGTGACATAATACCTCTAACAAGGGAATGAATGAATATGACAGAACTCTCTTAACTTATGCCTAGAGTTTGTTGTTTCTGAATTTGTGTAATTAAGTAGTATATTGATGTAATGTCATTGTTTAACATTTATTTCTTATTATCTTTATGTGGTCAAATTTCTTAACTTCAAATGTAAGAATTTTATTTGGTGTTCAGTAAAATTTTTCATTTGCAAAATTATATTGTCGCCTAATTAAATCGGGAAACATTGCCTTAAAAGATGGTACTTCTCATGTATCTCTCACTTCAGTCAACATGCAACAGATGGAACTTCCTTGTGTCTATTAATACCTTGGTATTTACATTGAAAGTGTTCACTGGTAGCTTCAATCACTAAAATCTGTGTATGGATGAAACACCATTTTTAGAAGCTCCTTCCATTTCCTCAAAACAGACAACACAAATAGAGTTTCAAGCAATGTGACAGAATTAACTTAATTTTTTTTAATGAGCTCCAACATGAAAAATATTTCCAAAATCTTATTTATCCCAGGATGATGTCATAAGATCTGGTGCCCCAACAGAACAGTAAATATGCTGAACAGGTTGGTCTAGAAGTAATGCTCTGAGGCTTATATTTAGGAGGTGCTTGTTTTGAATCTTAAATGAGGATAGAAGCTTCCTTTCAAATTCTTTCCCATCAGTCATCCCACCATCCAGTGGTATATAGTCTTGATATGGAAAGTTTCTGCAAATAACCTACAACCTACAAAGAACAGGAAATACTAACTTTACAGTAAAAATTATTTCATTGTATTAGAGTCCAGCTCAAAATTTTGACCAGAAAATGCCACTCAGTTTATGCTGGGGCGTTTCATTGTAAGTGTCCTTTATGCTAAAAATTGGGAAGATACAGGAATTGAATTGTGTTCATCCTTTATTTCAGTGTTCAGAACTTATTGAAATCTCTTCTGCCCTCAGATTCCCCCTGGTAGTGTGGAGCATGCAGAGTTAGCTGGACTACTTTCAGAACAGCAGCAGCGCTGTCCCGTATTTTCTGCTGCTGCTGAAGAAATTTTGGCTGATGTAGAGAAGCCTGTTAAGACAGATGACACAGCTAGAATTGATCTAGATGAAGCAATGGATGAAGTAGCCCAAACATTAAGTGGATTTGATATCGAGGGAATGACTCTGGCTGATAGAGAAGAGATGAAACTCCAGATGCAGCAGCCGTCTGTTGATCAGTTCAGTGGAAGTCAGGCTGTACTGGAGGAAGCCATTTCAGTAATGGTGGCATCGCAGGCGCCCGTCCAAGTTGGAACAACTCAGACTGACGCACGAGTCGAATACTTCCCAGTCCCATCAACTGGCTCTCAAATTCCAGCTTTACAGGTGATTGCACAATTTAGTTATTTATCACTAGGGGCTTGGCTTTGAATATTGACAATCCAGTCATTGAAAAATACAGAATGTATGTCACAAGAAGCTCTTCCAAATCAAAATGTCAACAGCTGATGACAGGGAGACTGTTTTTATTGCGACCACATGGCAGCACAGTTAGTAGTGCCTGCAACCAGCATTCTTCACTATGTTGTCAATATGTGTTGCCTTCTCATGAAGCACCATACCGATTTTATAACACAGGGATATTTCTGCAAGAGTGGATAGTGTGTTCTTTGTAAAGCAGTGTGTCATTTTCACTGTGAGTGTGCAATAATTCATGCACATTTTGCTGATATGGAGAAGCCATTTTTGGATCTAGGATCAGAGTGCCAAGAGAACTATGTTTGAAGGGTGAACATAATTCTGTCTTATTCCACATAACCAGAGTCTTGATTTCCATATATCCCATTATTTTTCTTAACATGTAGATGTGATTTGTTTTTGAAAACTCCAGTTTTGTCATCATTTGAGAGAGCAGTAAACATGCAATGAACAGCAAATTTGACATTTCTGGTGAATCTCATGTTTGAATTTTTGAAAGGAGGCAGGATATACTGACAGATTTTTCATGGTTGTTTATAGTTCCTCGAGTTAATTGGGGGATCTGTGTTGTTACTTTGAAGTTATCAGCATATGAGACTTGAACTTTCCACCACATTTTCTATTTATTTTAGTATTCAGTATCTACAAGACTATAATGCACTGTTGAAGCAGTCAAATTAGATACGCTGGGTTTGAACATAGTGAGATAGAAACTTAAAATGGTTATTGAGGTGGTAAATGCACCCACCCACCCAAAATGAACAATGAAAGAAGGAATGTTAAATTGATGAATGATAAATCAAGATTTTTGGATGCTGCTATTTGGATTTTGTAACTGTAAGAACCTGTTTCATGTGTGAATCTACAGTGAATAGTCCAGAAATTCTACAGGCAATAAACAAAATGGATGTCACCTGTTAGTATATATCGTTAATCTCACGTGCAAATGTTCTGAACAGGTTCAGCATGGAACCAGCCTGCATCTGCAGTATCCACATTATCAGTTGACCCCTGGCCTACAGGTTACAGGAGGAGGGTCTCTTGAAGTTGCTGGTGGGATTCAGATCACCAGTGGCAGTGGAGCACCCCTGCAGACAGCCCAAATCCTTAACACACAACTGCAGTCTGTTTCAGGGACAGCTTTCGCATCCCAGCTTTTACTGCAGACACCTCGGCTTGGTGAGTTGGGCTATGTTCATATTTCACTTGTGTTCAAGAATTCTGTACACTTGTAGTGCTTATGACCTTGAAGAATATGATATATCTTGTTAGGATGAAAAAGCTTTGGACATGTGAATGATAGTTACATCAGAATCTTGAACTCTGAAGTCAATTTGAAAACCATTGTTGTTATCAGGGCTTATAAATTTAACATTATAGTGATATTCTTCCAAAATCAGTGTTTATGCATGGGAGTGAAGTGTGGAAGAGGCCTGACAAAAGATGAGTATCAGATGAAATGCCATTCTTAAGATCAACAGCAGATTACACAGTTATTGGCCATCAGAAATGAAGACATGTAACAAATTTTACTAATATTTGTATTTTATACAGAACTGTAGGACATTTGAATGAAGATGTGGAAAGAATGAGGTTTTTTAACCTCATGCTGCTGTAATTTCATAAAATGTTTAATATTCCTGTCCATTGATATCATAAAGTGATTCACTTTAAATTATACTGGTGTAACAAAGTGCAGAACAACAGGCCTGCCCAGTCTCAGAACTCTTCCATGTTGTCCTGCTCAGCATACTAACTGTGGAGCCTTGCTACCTGGTTCAAGCTTCCGATAGCTGTGTTAAATAATCCATAAATATTAGGCATGTGCAGGATGACTGTCAATTTGGGACAGGATTTTGGGAACATTTTGAGAATCAGGACACTACTGGGAACTTTATCTGGTAGACCACACTCTTCTTTCTCTGGTAATAAATAACACCAGCAAGATGACTCCAAATGTATGAAGACCATGCACTAAGAAACGTAATTTTATCAGTTACTTTCACACTTTTACTGCAGACACGAAGGGGGCACGCGGTAGCGTAGTTGGTTGAGGCACTATGCTACAAGCCAGAAGGTCGCAGGTTCAAGTCCCAATGAGGTCATTGGATCTTTTTTCAATTGACTTAGTCCTTCTGGCCGCACTACAGGCTAACAGAATTGAGTACCAGGAATTAATTAAGTAATTTTACTGGGGAGTAAATTGAGGCCGGCGTGTAAGGCTGACAACCTTACCGGCATCTTTGAGCCAATCATCTAGAAAATATGGGATCCTCAATGTCTCACAACCCTATGGACCTTCACGGCTTGTTACAGGGATAGCTTTACTTACTTTACTGTACTACAGACATGCAAAGGGAAATAAAACTTATCATGCATGACATCAATTTAGTTTCTTTCTTGATGTCACTAGGCTTTATTCAGATTAGGTAGTCTCACTCTCTTTACCTATCATGTGTCTTGGCTTCAGTGACTTCACATTTGCCAACTTAGACCTGCATTGATTGCTCACATTCATGTTCACTGCCAACATTTCCACCTTCTTCGTCATCGTCCTTTCTCCCAATTTGATTAACAAGACACACATGCCTAATATATAAATGTCATCCATTTTCTTCCAAGTGTGCCAAGTAGTCTTAGCTGGTCATTTACAGTTATTGAGAAAAAATATATATTTGAAATATTTTATCAATGTCAGCTGTTGATACAAAATCACATTTTGAAGACAGAAGAATTAATAATATCATGTCTTCTGTTATTGATCATGATGATGCTTCATATTGCATCATGTATAACATTGTTTTTCCAGTATTCTTGAAACCAGACTTGGATATATTCATAACCTGCAATAATAAACTAAGAATTCATCTACCATTTGTGGAACAGGGTTTGAAGTTAATTCATGACTGGCGACGCAATGTATAAATCAAACTCAAATTCTCACACTTCCTACCATTCAAGGCATAAAGATTTTGGCAGCCTTATTTGTGCATGTAGAATTCACATGTGAAAATGCACATTAAGGTATAAGTCTCAAATGACAAGGATAACTCATTTGGTGTAGCAACAGGCTGCAGGCAGGATGGCCAGAAATCAATTCATGGCAAGGGGTAAGAAATTTTTCTGTACTCCACAGCATCCAGACTGGCTCTGGGGCCCACCCAGCCTCCTATTCAGTTAGTACTGGGGACTCTTTCCCTTGAGGGGAGGTAAAGTGGCTCAGGTGTGATGGTGACCACCCACCATCATCAAATGCTGAGGTCGAGAATGATGTACCTCCACCCCCCCCTTCTTCATGGAATGGTGCTAAATTATTTAAGTACAGGAAGAACTTTACATTTACTTCGGTTTCAAGTGGCACTTTCATTTCCTTCTGGTTTCAATGAGACTTAGATTTTGTTAAGAACAGTCTTATACAGGACTGTAATTGTTTGATTAAGGATACTTAAACTTTACAGGCAGGTAGCTTTGTCAGAATCATCTTTTTTGTAACAATTTTGTGCATGCAGAAGTACCGAAGTTTGGAGTGTGAGTCAGTGAATATCAGCATTTTGTTTGCAGTCACACTTCAATGAATGAGTGGGCAAAAATTTCTGTAACTGCACTCATTCCCATATTTAACGATCCCTCATATACTCTCTGCTGTCTGCTCAAAACAGTATTGGCTAGCCGTCATGTTTCCAGATATATATGTATATGTTTTACATGTTTTATATTTTGTATTTGTGAGTTCTGTTCCATTACCACATGTTCTTGTCTGTGCTCTGACCACTTGAGCTTGTGATCACACATGTCACTGCATGATCCACAAATGACTGTAGAAGATTTGATACAGCAGTGATGTGTTCTTTAGTTTGCACTGGGGTTTCACACATTACATACAGATGGGGCCAGGAGATATCACGTGCTATTGGAACTATAGCTGTAGATATGAATTATTGGATATACAAAGTTTTCCTGAATTGCGTGTGTATGGAAGCATTTTTGGACATAAAATACAAAACAACTTCAGTGGACCTTGCCCTAAAACTCCTTTATTTACGACTCAGTATAAGGACACACTGTAGAAATATTTCTACAGTGTGTCCTTATACTGAGTCCACTGTATTGATTACATGTACACACTGGCAACTGTGATTTTAAAACCATTTTGTGTTGCCCATTTATACACATAATACCTCTACACTCTTTGCTAACTGAATAACTGTGCATGGGAGCGTGTAATTAAAATTAACATGCTTGTTAAGCCAATTCAGAGCTGAGATCCAAAATTTTTGTGGTAAAATTGTTGAATGTAACTTGCAGCATTTCCTGGTCAAGCATTACCACCATCTGAGCCGACACATGGAACTGTAGCGTCTCCAAGTGGCACAGCACAGTACGTGCAGCCTTCTTGCATGAACCACCAAGTTCAAGTGGCCACCCAGACAACAACAGACAAGAAAGGGGCAATGACAGCTTCGTCAGCAGGGCCCGGATCTGGCACTGGAACAGTCCCGGTGGGGAAGGGGAAGAAAAATCGCTATCAGTTCCAGCAGCGCCAGACTCAAAACCAACAAGTCCAACAGAATGCTGCAGCTTACAGCTCACAGAACATAACACAGCAAAACTATCAGACGGATCCTAACACAGGTTTATATCTTTAAGATTTAGAATGAAATTTAGTGTATGGTGTGGTACACAGTTTTGTTTAAAAATGCATGTATGTCACCAGTTATTATCTTCTAACACACTTACTTACTTACTCACTCATGGAACTGAGCCCTTCTGGAGGAGCCGCCAATTCTGCAGCTACTCAANGCAATAGCCACAGGAACGTTGCTGCAAGACAGGCATATGTAACGACGACTTAGCGCTCTTAAACGCGTGTGTCATTAAATACAGTCCTCCTGACAACAGGCCAGTGAAAAATCTAACAATCTACAGCAAAACCATCAATTATTATGGGCGTTATAACATACGTGTGCAGCTGGACGAAACATACACGTCGAACCCCCCCAGACGATTTAAATCCCTGACGAAACATACACGACGAACCACGGCAACGGGTTAATGTCAGAGACCAAGTTTCACACCCATACAGAACCACAGGCAAAATTATAGTTTTGTATATTATGATTTTTATGTTTTTGGACAACAGACGAGAAGACAAAAGGTTCTGGACTGAATTGTAGCAAGCATAACTCGAGTTCAATCGCCTCTTAATTTCCTCCTCAATCAGGTTTCAATCTGTTATGGTTGTTCCCAAATATCTGAACTGTGCCACATTTTCAAAACATCTGTTTCCTATCTTTATGTCATGATTTTGCCCTGCATTTTGGTGACGAGGCAGTAACATACTACTCAGTTAAATTCTTTAATAATATATTATCAGAATTTAAAGCCTTCAGCAATATTTCCTTTTCACATTGCACCTTCTTTCAGTATTTGAACTTGAAGAAAAAATATTTGTGAGATTTGGGATGCTATTTCAGTGTTTGAAATAGAAAAGGGTATAAAACTCTATATGGCCACGTGGATAAAGCTAATCTTCAGCACTGGTCTGTGTTAGAAATATATTACCACAGTAATGAATACCAAAATTTTATTTTATGCAACTTCTGAAATCCATAACCAGATCCATAAACTGTTCTGCAGAGCCAAAGTTACAACAGGTTCTGAAGACAAGTTTCTCTAATGATAGTTCTTGTTCTGAATGGTAGTTTAAAATTATTTTTCCATGAAAAATTTATTCTGTCCACAAGCGATTGTTCAAGCTGCAGTTGTGGTCCAAAATTTGAAAAGTTAAATTAAATGCTTTTTCATTGGCAGGCTTTTTGGCTCGTAAAACAGCCATGGCAAATTTTAACTGTTTGCTCTTGTTAAAGTGTCCAGGGCTTACATATTTTATTTGTTGACCATAATCTTTAAGGCTGTCAAGCTTTATAGCAGACATGATTTTTTATTTGTAAGGTTCAGATCTCATCTGGCCAGTAAGTCATGGTTTTCCATGGCTTTCCTTGGGCCTCGCAGGGTAATGCCTAGAAGAAAACTGACCACTTCCTGATTCTTTCCAAATCATGATGTATACTTATCTCCATATTTTAACTCAAAATAGTCTCTATAGTTGAGCTTCATTGAGTAACTACAAACTTAGCTACTTGTGTCAGGATTTTTGTCATGGTTTTTTTTTCCTTACACATTTCAGAATATTGTGGAAGTACTATACTTAAACAGGATTGAATTCAGGTCTGAAGGCAAGAGTTAATATACTATAATACCTCGTAGGATCAGAAAGGGAATAAGTGATGAGTAACTGAAGATCTTCTGTGCAGCTGTTGGGCAGTATCCTTCAAGTAGCCAGTATCCAGGCACGCAGTGTCCACAAGCTCCTTTCTCGTGCATGGATGTAGACTCTGAAACAGACAGCAATCATGACACTGCGCTCACATTGGCTTGTGCTGGAGGTCATGAGGAGTTGGTAGAACTGCTGCTGTCTCGGGGTGCTGACATTGGTAGGTATTCTGTATTCAACTCTGGACTTCGAGATAAATTCAGGAGGTGGTAAAGTGCTCAATGCAGAACTTATGAACAGTATAAGGTCTGAGACTTTTGGTGGTGCAGATTTATAATGTCTTGGGATATGGCACCACGTAGTCTAGTACACAGTCAGTATTTTGGAGTATGATAAGAGGCAATATGGGCCTCTGAACCATTGGTGGCCATCTCATGTATGTGTGTGACTGTAGATGGGGTTTGGATTGGTGAACGGAATTATTGACCACTTATACATATGACTCGGAAATATAAGCAGTTACAGCACTATCGCTGATCTACACAGTTTACACAACACTACAGCACATGTTAAGTCTCTGTCTTTTATGGTCTTCCCGAGTCATTCCTTGGTAACAGCTCTCAACAGTGGAGATTCTTAAGCTTCTATGCTCAGGTTGTTACTGTCTGGTGAATATCCCATAACTTAACTCATTGCTCCAACTCTCCTGGTTGCAACATGTTGGCACAGACCACATAGAAAACATTGTTCTTCTATTGTTGTGTTCATGTCCATTGTCCAGATGTTCTCCTGAGCGCTTTATTTGAAAATAATTTCTTTTACCAGAGTGTATTGCCACATATCACACCCATACAAGAGATTACTTCCAAAATTGTTTTGTGTGCGCGCGTGCATGCATGTGAGCAGTGTGTGGGTGCGCATGTGCACACACTGCTCACATGCATGTGTTACAAGCTTTAGTGTTTTGTGAAACAAATAGTGTGATAACAGTTTTAGCTGAATAATAATAATTTCCTGAATTTATTTTTCTTGTATAAATTATCAAGAAACTACCAAAATCCTTTATTTAACTGCACATTAGTATCAAGCTTATCTGGTTGCTGCATGTGTATGTTGTGAAATGTTATGTATTGTAGTTGTAAATTTATCATTTTTATTTCAGAACACCGTGATAAGAAAGGTTTTACCCCACTAATTCTAGCAGCTACAGCTGGTCACGAAAAAGTGGTAGAAATTCTCCTAACACATGGGGCTGATATTGAAGCTCAGTCAGAAAGGACTAAAGACACACCCCTCTCCTTAGCGTGTTCAGGTGGCCGATATGAGGTATGTTTAGTTTGTAGAACAGAATACTGTGTGTGTGTCAGTTTATACAGGATGATCAGAAATTCACATAACCTATCGGATTCTTCCCACAAGGGTAAAGTGGCTGGGAAACACATTACTTGCCTCCAATCTGAATGTATCAGCTTCCCCCCCCCCCGGCCGCAATTCATTAAATGTGTTAACACTTCTCTGTACACAGTCTGACAGTTAAAGATCGGTATATCAAGTTGTGGTTGTTAGCCTTGACATTCGTGTGGCTCTTAGTCACTGGATGCTTACAGTGAGACTGTGGGCAGCCCATGTGGGATATATGGAGGACACTGTGATTGTGGGTTAGGCTCTTTTCCCAGTATTTCTGTTATGTAGTTAAGTACCCCGTACTCACCTTCAGGACTGGCCTGTTTGAGGCTGCAGTACCAAGGGGATTGGCACTCCATTCCTGTTGACTCCATCATGAATACTGAAGTAATGTTTAATGTTGCACATCTGTTACTTGAGCTCACCTTCACAGTGAGTAGATTTTGCACACAGCTGTTACATCTTGGGGATCCCCCAGGAACATGTATTCCTGCCACTGTCACACTCAGTATTCTAAAGAATGAGCAGATTTACACTTTGTACTCTGAACGTGATATTGTTGAGGGAAATAACTTAAGAATGATGAGATGAGTAGGACATGTAGCATGTATGTGGGAAATGTGGAATATGTTTAAAATTGTTGTTGGGAGACATAGGTGTTGATGGGAAGATGATATTAAAATGCAGCTTAGGTCAGGTCTTGAGGATTATGCTTACATTCCTGCTGCAGTCAGTAACAGGAGAACTGTGATATGTATAGAAATATTTAATGAGTGTAGGCAAGCAAAATTTGTAGGTTGCATGTGGTTTTAATGTATATTTCCAGAGCCTTGTCTTATCAAGTTGGTAATTAAGACATTAATTCAGTTTAAATGCCTTGAAATGGGATCCATTGACAGGCTTTTTGTTGTCATTATGATGGACTTTTATATTTTATTAAACAAGGAATTTTCTGAACAGTTTTAATAACGAGATGCTGAGAGAAGGCAATGCAGTCAAGTAAGTGCTTTTACAATTAACAGGTTATGTTAGATGGAAGTCACATTTTTATATTTTGTCAGGTTGTGGAGTTGCTGCTAACACGAGGAGCAAATAAGGAGCATCGCAACGTGTCCGACTACACTCCTCTCAGTCTTGCTGCTTCAGGTGGCTATGTGAACATCATAAAACTTTTGTTAGCACATGGAGCCGAGATTAACTCAAGAACAGGAAGTAAACTTGGCATTTCACCCCTCATGTTGGCAGCAATGAATGGCCATACAGGTAAATTTTACTTTTTTTGTTGTTGTAATATGAAACTTTGGAGGTGCACAACTATTCTGTATAAAGGTCTGCTACCAGATTTTGCTTCACACTGGATTACAGGTAATTGCTGGCTCATCTGTAGGATATTAAAGTTGAACCATTTCCACTCATCTACTAGAGTATGCTCATTCCAAGATTGCTCTTGATACTGCAGTCAGACAATGACTGTCTTTGTTTCTGTTCACTCATTTCTTGAGGAAAGAATGTATGTGTCAGTGGCAGGCAGGTTGTGCTATCTGATCTGTGTCTTAACACATTGTGGATTTAGTGGAGTACAGTTTGTGTGGACTGGCCATTCTTGCATTGGATGTCTCCTTGGGAATGAAAACAGTGTAACAGTAATAGACTGATCATTTGGGGACAGAAGTATCCATTGGAGTATGGAGAAAGGAATTGCACAACACTTTCCTTGAAAAATTATGAAAAGGTATATATTTTCACCAGAAGTGTAAAATGGGGGAACAAAAATTGTGTCTGAAAGTTGTGCATAAAATATGTGAAAAATGCTTTTCAGAATATTGATATTAGGAAAATTATGGCTGCTTAAGATTTTCCATTCTTTTCAACATAATTTGAAACTCTGCCATATGTTGTAGCTTACATATCCCCACGTTGACAATTTACATCAGTGCTTATTATTACTTTTCTAAGACAATAAGACTACAACAAAAACTCCTTAATTGTACTGAATGCGATAAGGCACCCAACATGGGAAGTTCCAGTGACATTAACCATTTATTTTTACTTTTTTCATTCATCTCTATTCTCTCGATTTCCTAAAAGAGTTGCTTGCGTTTTCTGGTTAAGGGTCAGTCCCTTTTGATACAAGAATATGGGGAAGCAAAATTATGAAAAAACAAGAATCCTGATGCTGTCAAACAGCACAGTAGAATGTAGCAGCAACAACTTGTAATTGGCTGGCTGGTTATATGCAAGCAGGAATGACAGAAATATTAGTATTACAACAGACAGTGAATTTGTGAAGGAGGAACATCATAACATTGGTGTGTTACAAGCAGTGCATGCTAACATCTTATGCTATTATTGGAGGATTCTGGATTCTTGTAATTATGTTGTGGGCTACATGAGACCAAATAATCACTAGGAACATGACGGCACAACTTTTTTCTCTTAATTTTTCTTTCCCTTTCTTTAAAGCAGCCATGCCAGGAGACAGCAATTTACTAAGAAGACTTAATGAATAACTTTAACATGCACATATTTTGTTCCTGAGTAACACTGCTGAAATGAAATGTTGTTTAGTAACAATCAGCTATGTGCATGAACCACTGAATAACTTTCATACATTCTTCTCAGTTGTGCTTGTTGTTTTCCTTGTTTTATTATGTGTTAATGTATGGTATTGTCTGCTAAAACCAAAACTTTGTTAACACTGAATTCACAATGGGAGGCATCGTTTTACAATGTTCACAATAATAAGATGTCATTTTCAACCACTCTTTTTGGGTTTGCCAAACAGTGGGCCAGAAAAGTGAAACCTATATGTAAACATCTTGATAGAATAATGCTATCCCCAAACTGGCACATGAAAAACAGTTGTGAAAGCAGAAAGATGTAAGTCAACTTCAGCACACTGCAGACTTGAACTGTGGATACAGGTATAAAAATGTGCACTGGTGGCCAGTCTGATCATGCAGTAGTAGAACACCTGCCAACAAAGTATCACCTCCAGTATACATATGGCAGTAAATCAAGGTTTTAAATGGAAAATGTTTTAATTTGAATAGCTTATACACTACATATCGCTTTAAAAATATTTTGGGATTGATTTTAAACTCAGTATTTTTAGTTTTGTTTGGGGAATTCACTTCTGGGCTGCACTGGCTACAAGTAATATGATGGTACTTTACTTCCATGCACATTATGTGCTCACTATAGGAGCTTGGTGATTGATCTTGCTCAGATGTTGATGCCTGGCTGGTGATGACCTCTGGTCATTATTTGATGTATCACACAAGATGCTTGATCTGTTCTTATGTTTGTACATTTCAGCTGCTGTGAAGCTGCTGCTGGATATGGGTAGTGATATCAATGCCCAGATTGAAACAAATCGGAACACTGCTCTTACACTCGCTTGTTTCCAAGGAAGGCATGAAGTGGTCAGTCTTCTGCTCGATAGGAAAGCAAACGTAGAGCACCGCGCAAAGACTGGTTTGACACCACTAATGGAAGCTGCAAGTGGTGGTTATGTGGAAGTGGGTAGAGTGCTCTTGGATAAAGGTGCAGATGTGAACGCACCTCCTGTTCCTTCATCACGAGACACTGCACTCACCATTGCAGCTGACAAGGGACACTGCCGATTCGTAGAACTCTTGCTCTCAAGGTATTTTGAATATCATGTAGTTTAAAAGTGCTTTTAGTATTGAAAAATTATCCATTATGGTGAGAGACATTTATGTTGCTTTTCCATTTCCTTGTGTGAAGATTGACTGATTCCTACTTAGTAAATCTGGGTGGCACCACTATAAAATTGAAAACAGGTGGAAGAGATGAAGCTGCTAGAAGAATAATGTATTACTGTCATTAGGACTCCCACCTTAAATTCATGTTCAGTGCCTTATTTTATTTAGTACAGTCAAAGAATAAAGGTAGAAAAAGGTAAAGTTGCACCTATGCTTAACTAATTAAGCACTACGCCATTTAGACATATGGGAGAGTGGATGTATAGATGCATGTTTTCTTGACCTTGGCACTAGTTGAAGGTGAAAGGTTAGGTTCAACCACTGGCTGCTTTACCCCTGGGAAAGAGCCCACAGTACCCATTGTGTAGGAGGTTGGGTGGAACCCAGAGCTGGTCTGGTGGTCTGGACGATTGGAGAAACAAAAATCGTTGATCCTACTGGGACTTGAACTCCGACTCCTCAATCATCCAGCCCGTAGTCAGTCGCTATACTGACTACGCTATCCCAGCTGCTATAGTCAAGGATTTCATATGTTAAATTGGCCACAGTGAGTAGTGACTTGGAAGTATATCAGATGTCGCAAAGTACGAGTATAAGAGTTAAACAGCTGACTTCAAAATGGACGATGTAAACAACATAAATTGAAATCATGCTTTTTTCTTACACAGCAGCTTTTTTCTCATTTTTATGCGGCCATAATACTCCTGCCCACAATCAGACATAAAATTATACTCTGTAAAGTAATATTTGCATATTTTTTTGTGTTATAACTTTGGGACAAAAATGTTTAAAGTAGTACATAAATTATATGACTACACTGCTGTCCAAAAAGTATCTGACTTTATTTATTTCCGCTGTGAGTAATGGCCAAAGGGGTGGGGAAACTGAGGGTAGTGGTAGAAGGGACTTATATGCGCATGTGTGATTTTTTGCTGACTTGCAACACCGCCGGATGTGTCTGTTGTTGCCAGATAGTGAAGTGGTGTAACACGTGTTCGTCGCATTCTCGTTTCGCTCAACATGACAGAACGCTTGGAGCAGCGATACTGCATCAAGTTTTGTCAGAAACATTGGGGTACCCAAACGGAAACAACCTGCAAAATTCAGCAAGCTTTCGGCGATGATGCAATGGGGGGGGGGGTCACTCAAATTAAAGGGTGGTTCAACTGCTTTAAAGATGGCCGTATGTCTGCGGACAGTGACCAGGGTTCTGGGAGACCGTTAACGAGCCGAAATGCTGATGTCATTCAAAAACTGTGGACACTGATCATGGAGGACCGTCGTTTGACCATCTGGACAGTTGCTGATGAGGTTGGCATCAGCAGAGTTTCTGCAAACACCATTTTAACTGAGGATTTGGGCATGCAAAGAGTGGTAACAAAATTTGTGCCCAAGCTGCTTTTGCCAGAGCAGCAAAAACTCCACCTTGAGGTCGCACAGGACATGCTGGATGCGCCAACGGGGATCCTGAGTTCCTGAAGACTGTGATCACTGGTGATGAGTCGTGGGCATATGGATATGACTTGGAAACCAAGGTCCAAGTCACAGTAGAAGCATCTGACATCCCCGAGGCCCAAAATATCACGACAGGTTTAGAGCAATGTGAAGGTGATACTGACTGTTTTTTTTTTCAATTACTGTGGTGTTCTGCATCATGAGTACGCACCACTAGGCCAAACTGTCAATAAGAAATACTACCAAGAAGTTCTCCACCGTCTTTGTGATGCAGTTCAGTGCAAGAGACCAGACACACACCACTGGTAGCTGCATCATGACAATGCCCCAGCTCATTCATCACACCTCATCCAGGGTTTCCTGGCCAAGCACGGCATTCCGCAGGTTTGCCAGTCTCTCTGCTCTCCTGACATGTGTCCTTGTGATTTCTGGCTGTTCCCAAGATTGAAGACACCACTAAAAGGCTCCCGTTTTGACAGCCACGAGGACAACATTCAGAACGTGACAGCGCAGCTGCATGACATTCCAAAACAAGCCTTCCAGAATTGCTTCCAGCGAAGGAAGGACCACTGGACTAAGTGTGTGGAGTCACAAGAGGCCTCCTTTGAAGGGGATTAGGTATTGTAGCCACCCAGATACAGAACTTAGTTTTCCCGACCCAAGGTCGGATACTTTTTGGACAGAGTAGTAAATGTTGTTTTACATCCTTAACAGTTGAATGGATTTATTGTGATGACATCTCCATTGGAACTAATTTTATTGATCTTTATATCTCATGTTACTGTTTTCAGGGGTGCCCAAGTGGAAGTGAAGAACAAGAAAGGCAATTCTCCATTGTGGTTAGCTGCAAATGGTGGCCATCTAAATGTTGTTGAACTCTTATACAATGCAGGGGCAGACATTGACTCTCAAGATAACAGAAAGGTACTTTTTTCCTGAGACCACTATAGTGTTTTAAGAAGTTATAAAAATGAAGCAAGTTGTTCTTAAATACAAGTTGAAACTGCTGAATCATCTTTAAGACATGTTTTCAGAAAATGTTTGCAGTGCTTTATAGGTCCAGAGCACAGCTTATGCAGAAAATCCTTACATCTGGTTTTGAAATATTTGTGTAATTATCAAGATAGTGTTCTAAATTGTAACTGAGGATTGGGGCCTAATTTTTAGTTATTGAGTAAGAAGGTGGAGAGCAACTATTAGTATCTCAAAGACTGTGCTTCATATAGGTAGCTAATGAATGATGAAGCTTTTTCCATCTTGTTTCATTAACCTATTTGCATCACGAAACATTTGTAGATAGTGCTTGTATCATTGGCATATTTTTATGGAAAAAAAGCAAAACCCTAATACAGTGCATATGGATACTGATTAGAACTGTTCGCTCCTGATGTTAATACAATATGTGAAGTAACAGAAAGCCATGTTAGAGCAAAGATAACATTTGCAGCTTCATGAAATATCAAGGTTGGTGAACAGACACTGCCACACATTTATGTGCTCTTGGTAAAACAGGCCAGTTTCACAAACTGGTTAGATGGTTAATGAACACAATTCTTGCATGTGTGTCATTTACTATTCCATTTTTCTGAACCATTTGACTCACACCTGCAGGAGACATGTTTAGCAGGTGCAACATTAATACAAAGTTCTTGGTGGTTTTACCATATGAATGGTGCTGATGGAACACCTGGTCTTGAAGAACAGTCCAACGGTAAGAAAACTGTCTTCGATTGTCCCCTTGATCTTGAAAATTGTAAATTTGATTCCCTGTGCAAGTGATGTTTTGCACTTGCCCCACTGGAAGGGTATGTTTTACAATCCATTCCAGACTCTGTAGGACTCCTCCTGTGTGTAACGACAATTACCATGTTTTTATATCCCTTGCTTGGTATATTACCATTTTATTGTTAGTTGGATTGCAGGCTTTCAGAGAATCCTTCTGTCTCACTGTTCATAACCAAGTGACTGAGCACTGTTCTAGCACCAGTATTTATAGTTTGGGGCTGCAGCATAGTGGGGGTTCTGCATTCTCATTGGTGAATGTGAGCCCAGCAGTAAGGCATATTAGATTTTGGCCTTGTTTCAGAAATAATTTCCTGTTAAATCTTGTGCCAAAGGAACATGATATGATGGATGAGATCATAAAAAGAACAAAATCAAGGCTGTTGCATCTAGACTGAGCAGTTGCTGATGGCTTAGTATTTCTGTGGCATGCCATTAGTTGCTTCATTATTTATAGTATTGTAGCATGTAATACTATTGCTATGCAACGATGACAAGAAGGAACTTGCATTGCTTGGTAGTGGCCAGTAAACACATCAGTGATATCCATGCAGTTGCTAGGCAACTGCACATAACAACAATAGAAAATCCATTGGGAGCAGTATTTTCTGTTGGGTTCACGTTGAGGCTATAGAGCTAGGACCCCAGGGTAGCTGAGTTCATTTAATTTGTGGGATATTTGCCAGACAGTAAAGATGTGAGCACAGAAGCTGGAGAATCTTCACTATTAAGATCGTTTACTAGGAAATGACTAGTGAAACAAACTGAGAAGACTTAGGGTGTAGTGATTTGTGAAGTGTGGAAATCAGTGTTACTGTTATTGTTATTTGTAGTTAGAACCTGTAAGTAGGGGCACATGATAGCATAGTTGGTTGAGGCACTATGCTACAATCTGGAAGGTCGTGGTTTTGAGTCCCGATGAGGCGGATTTTTTTCAGTTGACCTAATCCTTCCAGCCACACTATGGCCCTGGGGTCAACTCAGCCTGTAACAGAAATGCGTACCAGGAATGTTCCTGGGGGTAAAGGGTGGCTGGCACGTAAGGCTGACAGATTTGCTGCCATCTATGAGCCAGTTGTCTAGAAAATGTGAGCCTCAGTGTCTCACAACTGTGTGGGCCTTCATGACCTGTTAACAGGGATAGCTTTACCTTTTGCCTCTTACAGCTTTTAAGTGGTTGATGAACCTATTCACCAGTCCATACCCCTTTTATAGTCACTCATATGTGTGTGACAAACTGCTATGACTTTAAACTTCAGATTACAATGGTATTTCAGTCTGAAGTAACTGGAAAGTTTACAGGCTTGAATTTTAGAAACCTAAAATATCAACCCTGAAATGTAACCTCCCCCTCCTCAATTTTTACATTAATTTCATGGAAAAATGTCTTTCTTCTTTTAATTTTGTACAGAATTTTTGAAAAGTATTGCCATATAAGCAGGAGTGTACCTGTAGTGGAACTGGAGTGCTACCATCTCTCTTCTGTATGACTGATTATATTTACAGGTGTCATGTTTGATGGCTGCCTTCAGGAAAGGGCACATTAAGGTAGTTAAGTGGATGGTGAATCATGTCACACAATTTCCCAGCGACCAGGAAATGACCCGATACATTTCAACTGTCAGTGACAAGGTATGGTGGTATTATGATTACTGATAGTCATTCCTGTATTTTGTTCATTCCAAACTGTATCTGAACCCACATCTTTCTTCCCAATATCAAGGACCCATAATTCTTATATAGTTGACATGGTTGCATTTGTTCAGAAATTTATGTACTGTGGAAAGTGGACTGAACAGTGTCTGTTTTAAATTGATCATTTTCTGCATACATAATTATTATAAATGCACATATTTGTGTTACTTTTGTTATCTCATTACAAACACTGAGAGAACTGAGCGAGCTGGCTCAAGCGGTAATCTGCCTGGTTCCATTCTTGGCTAGGGCACCAGCTATCCAGACTGCAGATTTTCATGGTTCTCTTCAGTCCCTCCAGGTAAATTTTGAGGATGGTAACTTAAATTAGGCTGCCACTGTTTTCAAATTCATTATTATCCAGTTATTCAAAATATGTTTTCTGGGATACTGACAGTGTTAAATAGGCCAAAGATAAACGGATACTAACAGCAGAAGCTAAGTGTTCAGCACTGTTAATACCAAAGCCATACGATAATTTTTTAACCAGTGATTTTGCTAGCCTGTAAATTAATATGATCTTTATGGTATTATATTCTGACCCAGCAGTGCCTAAGTGACAGATTATAATAAAATACATGCCATGCTTGTTGATTTGTTAATATTATGGCAGTATATCTGCTGCTAAGGCTAAGTGTTAATTGACTCAACAGTGCTATAATAATGACTGATGATAAAGGATGTAAAATGTCGCCATGGCCAACCGGAAGGGTAAAGAAAACCACAAAGACTTTCACCCAGAATATATGATCCCCAGCCAGAATTTGTATTGGATACTTGTGAGTTGGATGTGGTCCACCCTGGTGAGATTTATTTTCCTCTGTTCATTGATTTTACCATCCCGTAACTTAATGAAAATTAAGTGTTTGTGTGAGGGGGTGGGGGACTTCCAGTTACTCCAAGCAGTTAGGCCATTGCTGGGTCTGTTGTGCACCCGTCCCCAGTACTAAGTCAAAACCTTGCTGATGTACTCTGTCCTTGCCGACACAAATATCTCTATTCTGTGCCTAGGCAAAGCTGGACTTTGACACAGTGTTTGATAGGATTCCTCTTCCATATGTGAGTGTACACCAGCAAAAGGGAAGCATACGATAATTAAAACAAATATGAAATACACTACAGAAGATAAATATTAAACTCAAATATTTGCCTGCATTATAACTGAAACTGAGAGATTCTTTTGTAATTTTAATGAGTACAATCTTGCAACTCTGTAAGGTTGTGACACATTTTCTCTAAACTTGTGATTTAATTTGCCTTCTATAAAGTTCCAAGGGTTTTAAATCAAAGGATATTGAGGAAATATATTAAGCTAATAAAATTATGGAGAAGCTTTGTCTCGTTTGAAAATTATGGTTTCCAGTGAATTGATGTCTCATTTGTGCCACATATTTTTTAAGATAGCACGTCAGTAAAAATCATTTTTTAGTTCATTTTATGCTTCTACATCTACAGTGAACTTCCTTAGTATGTATTGAAATAAAGATGTTTGGACTTTGTGACAAGTCTGTATATGCATACCAGTTTTTTCAACACCCAGCATAATTTTACATTTCCTTCCACTGTTTTATTTCCCAACTAATTCCACCATGTAATTTGTAAACTTTAAAAAAATTAATTTCCCATGTTTTAAATTGAATGCATCTAAAATTTTGATACATAATATAATATTTTAACTTGGTGATTTTATATTCACAGTTTCTGTGGTCTCCTGAAAAACGTTGTCTACAATATTTAATTCTATTTGTGTGTGCAGGAACTTCTCGAGAAGTGCCAGGACTGTGTGAAAACCATCAGAGCTGCAAAAGATCAGCAAGCAGCCAAGGCCAACAAGAATGCCAGTATACTTCTAGAAGAACTAGACATGGAGAAGACACGTGAAGAGTCCAAGAAGGCAGCAGCTGCAAGGAGGCGCGAAAGGAAAAAGAAAAAAAAACTTGAGAAGAAGGAGGAAAAAAGAAAGCTGCATGAGGAGAATAAAAAGAATGAAATCTTATATCAAGAGAATGAGCAGACAAACAAGAAATCCACTGAAAATGAAGTCGAAAGACCAGAGGAATGTGAAAGAGGTAAATAACAATACAAAAGAATGATACAAGTTTGGAAACTATTCATATGAATCCACCATTATTATGTGGGATGTGTTTTTAAAAGGGATTTTATTAATTGTTTTTTCTCTGGCCTTTATTAATTTGTATAAGCGAGTTGGGTTCATAACACAGAAAAGCAGAACATGTTCAGTGTTAAATATTTTACATTGCATTGTGATCTCTTCACGTAATAGGTGTTTCACAAGTTTTTGTCACTTATGTTGGAGAAAGAATGAGTAATGTTGACTTTTATTCCTGTTAGTGGTTTTCATACATTGCCAGTACACTGGGAATAATTTTGCAGTGACAGTAATGTCTTGAGGTTTAGTCTCATGTATTCAGTGTTCACCGTTCCTCACAGCCAAAGTCACAGCAAGACTATCAGGTGACAGGTGGCCACTACAGAGGCCAGTACAGTAGTGTCCAGAAACTGTCCATCTAACTTTGAATAGCATGAGCATAATGAGCAGGCCCCCTTCCTAATGATAGTAACTGTTCTCGGTAATTGACAAAGGGAATTTGTCAAAATCGTAATTTCTCACCATACCTAGGTACTTCTCATCCTTGAGTTTTCTTCAAAGAACTAAGGGCCTGTCACATCATGGTATGTCATTGCGCACGACTCGTTCACTTTTGATGAATCCTATTTTTGTTGTTGCATGAAGTGAGAATTTTGCCATGTTCTGGATGGTACAGCTATATGACTTTACTCATCCACTAATTTGGAATATGGCCTCATCAGAGAAAGCGGTGTGGGATCAGTGTTATATGTTCCATGAAATATTTTACAGCATTGGACACACAACACCTTGTAGTCCTGTACCATTGCCTTCACAACTTGCAAACGGTACAACTCTATGGCCAAGTCATGGTTGTCAGTTGTCATGCTGTCAATGAAACGGTTTTCTTGAAACTTCAGAATCGGTAGCCAGCATATAATCTTTCTGTGCTACAAATGTTTGTATCATTGTGAACATCCTGGGTCATCCAGTACATGAGTAGTTGAAATTGCATCATTATAATAACCCAAGAAGAAACAGACAGGTTTCATCATGTTCATTCATATAACTTCTTTAATATTCCATTTTGGTTTTATGTTTTTATAGAAGTGTCTGAAGCTCGTTGTGGAGGCAGTTCTCCCGGTGCTGACTCTCCTGTTCGGAATGGAGAACCAATGGACAAGGAGGAAGGAGATAGTGGAATTGATGCCAACAGTCAAGGTAGTTGTAGCAGTAATGACGTAAAGTCAAAAGAGAAGCGTAAAGACAAGAAAAAGAAGAAGAATAACATTACTGGTGGAGCAGGTTGCAGCAAGAGTGGCGATAAGGAATGCTCTTCTACTGTCTCGCCAGGCGTTGACACTGCTGTTAGTCGAACAGTGGTGCCAACAAGCAGCAAGCCCTGTGATGTCCAAGCACTTGCTGAGGCTAAGGACAAGCGAGGTCGCAGCGAGACAGATGTTACTGCCAGCCATTCCACCTCACAAGCTTCCAGTGAGAATAGCAGTATTGCTGTCAGTGGGGGCAAGCTCACCAGTCGGGGAATGGTAACCGGAGAGAGGAAGCTCAAAGGCCACCTTGTGTTTGAAGCCTCCAGACCACACCCAGCAGAAAGGGAAGATTTTGAGGCAACTGGCAATGAGACATATATACCTGCTACAAAAGGAAAAAAGACTTACATGTAAGTTTGCCAGTTACACACAACTTTGACATCACATGACATGCATGGTTCCACTGGTCATGCCTTTGTTAAATATGTGGTGCTATCCGAAAGTTCCCGAAACATATTAATAAAAACTATTACATCTTACCTGGATCTCATTCTGCACCATCACCTTCAAAGTAGTCCCCTTGGGAGTGCATACACCGATCCCAGCATTTCTGCCACTTTTGAAATGCATCCTGGAAGTCTTTCTTTGTTAGGGTGTTTAGTACCGTCTGCGTTTCCGCTTGAATTTCCTCAACTGTATCAAATCTTCGCTCCTTCAACCTGATTTTCATCTTGGGGAAGAGAGAGAAGTCGCATGGAGCTAAGTCTGGCGAGGACGGTGGGTGGGGAACAACTGCCATCTTGTTTTTAGCCCAAAATTCCTGCACAATGCAAGCCATATGCGGTCATGCGTTGTCATGGTGGAGTACCCAGTCGTTTGTGCGCCACTTCTCTGGACGTTTTCTCCTCATGTCCTCCTTCAAACGCCTTAGAACATCGCGATAGAACTCTTAATTGACTGTCTGACCAGGAGGGATGAACTCCTTATGAACAATCCTGTCAGTATAAAAAAAAACAGATCAACATGAACTTAATGTTGCTCTTGACTTGTCAAGCTTTTTTTGGCCGAGGTGAAGAAGGGCTCTTCCATTACGATGATTGCTGCTTACTTTCAGGTTTCAGGGTCGTAGCCATAAACCCAACTTTCCTTACCAGTGACAACCTTCATAAGAAAATTTGGATCCTCTTGAAGCTGTTGTTGAAGTTCCCTGCAGACTTCCAAGCGATGCTGCTGCTGTTCATTTTGCAGCATTCATAGCACAAACTTCGCTGCAATCCTCATCATGTTCAGTTCCTCTGATAGAATTCGTTGACATGTACCATAACTTAGTCCCAAGGTGTTACAGAGGTCTTGGATGGTCAGTCTATGATCTTACAAAATCAGATCCCTAACTTTCGCGACATTTTCTGGTGTGGTGCCAGTTGATGACTGTCCCAGATGATCATCGTCATCAGTCGATGTTCGGCCATTTTTGAAACGCTTAAACCAGTTGCACGTTGTATCTGGCCCAAACTGTTGTCACCAAACGCTTACTTCAACATTTGGTGCATTTCTGCAGCGGTTTTCCCAAGTTTAAAACAAAACTTTATACATACATGCTGCTCTCTCAGGTCAGCCATTGCAAAACCGCAGACTCACGGAAACACAACAATGGAAATATGTTCACCAACAGTAAACCCAACCACTCAACTCGACACCGCTTGCCACACTGATTCAAGAAGGGTGTGTGGGGAGACACCTACCGGTATTTTGATGTACTCATAACCATTCGCTTGCAAAATTCAAGTTTCCAGAACTTTTAAATTGCACCACGTAGTTTTCCTTGATGTGCAGAGTTACAGTGTGGAGGCAGGTTGGAATGCCTACCCGTAAACCTGCAAGTTGTAGAAAGTGACAAAAAAGGAACTTGGGACCTGAGAGGCATAATTACAGGGAACTCATCCTCCAGGTTTTGGGTTGGATGCAAGGCTGACAACCTGGCTCTTTAAAAACATTATTGTTGGGAAATCCAATAAAATAGTGAAAACTGGAACAAATCTGGCAGAATCTTCAGAAGAAGGCTGTGGCTCCAAAAAGTGCTGTTTTGCTAATGACAACAGTGTATAGAAGCCATATAAGCCTAATTTTATGTTGATCCTATTTTATATGTGGTAGTTGGCTGTATTGCCAACATTTTAGAAATCCTTGCTGTTTCCATGTTGAAGGTGAAATGACTACCCACTGTCCATCACTGATACATTGTATATCTGCCATCTATGCACTGAGTGGTAGCCAATGACAGAAATATTTTAATACGAGAACATCATTCCGAGAAGGATACACAAGTAGTGCAAGTGCAGTGTATCAGTGAGGGCCATGGATTGTTCACTTTGCCTAGAAGATGGAGACAGTAGGGATATCTGAAATTCAGGAATGCAGCCAAATTGTTCCATTACACAAAACAGGATCAACATGAGCATCAGACCACTGCGAAAGCCTGATATTATGTCAAATTTTAGCCAATTGTTATTATTTCAGTGTGATTTTCTTATGTGAGAGCTGGGTTGGGTCAATCAGTGTACTGACTGTGCTACAGGCTAAATGACCAGGGTTTGATTGTGCAAGGGCCAGGGAATTTCTCTTCCCAAGTGCATCCACATCAGCTCTGGAACCCTTCCAGTCCCTTATCCCACTCACTTGCATCCACTGCAAAGATTAAGGTTGTGTTAGGTTATACTTCCACTGTACATCTTCATTGTGTGTAATTAAATTCATTGTTGCGAGAAGTCCATTTAATTCTCTGTATCAAGTGAGGAAAAGAAGCTGACATAGCATATGTTCATCTGAAGAGTTGCTGTTCACACTTCTTCATAAACCATAAATCATTTCACAGATTTTTTTTAATTCATTAAATTCATTATTCTGCTTTATTATACTGGTATGTGGAATTGTGAATTTTGTTCTTTTTATTAATACATTTTGAGTTTTGATGAATTATTGTTTATAAACAAGCTATGAGTAAGTCTAATGAACTACAAGCAACACGTTTTAGAATTTTGTTTGCTATGTTATGAAGTGTACTCTTTCTAGTCTTATAAAATGTACTTTAAATAAATCCCAATTCGAACTTAACTGTTTTGTTTCATGCAGTTCATTGTTTACAAGATTGATGTCCAAATATAGGTGTGATTAGCATCTGCAACTTCATTTCAAACTTCTTTCAGCATTGTGAATATTTAATGTACCATGATAAGAAATAAATTCTGACTCTGTTCGGTGTAATATTTGTAGTGCAGTTTGATTTGCAGTGTAGCAGAATAGCAGAAAATGCAATTCTGAAAATATCTGTGTTATATTTTATTAAACCTTTCCACTCTTTTAGTAAGCTCTGTAATTATTGTACTTTATATTAATGATGAATTATGCAGTAGTGCTGAATCAGCTATGAGGTTATTTTCATTGAACAAGGTTTGAAGCAACTGCAGTTGGTGTATCCTATTGCACTGGAGTTTTCTTTTTTTTTTTTTACAGAAATCATTTCTGTGAGGGAGATTCAAACTCGGGTTCATGTGCTGGCAAGAATTCGATGGTGTCTTCTACAAGTCCAAAACAGGGTGGCAAGAGAGAAGAGGGTTGGAAGGAGGTAGTTAGGAAGTAAGTTTTCCTTTTGTATTTACTGAAACTAAAACTTCAGAAGTTTTGGTTCAGCTTATATTTCTTCTTGATGTTTTACCATCGTACTTTCCTGTCTCCTACTCCGTAACAGAAACGTTTTAGCCTCATTTGATGAGTTTATAAATCTTGTAGCTTACTGTGTGTTTTTGGTCTTGCCCTTTTACATCTTCCAGTTGGCATACAGTGAGTTGTTTGTTTTGATCATTTTCAGACATTTTTCCCTAACTAGTCCAATTTGTACATCACTTTTATCTACTCAAAGTCAGATTTAAAAATCAGTTGTAAGACAGGTGAACATTTAAGAGAAAGTTGAAAGCTTTTATTCTCTTTATGTAGAAAATTTTATCAAAATGAAAAAATTCAGTATTCAGTTAAAGTAAATACGTAAACCTGAGAAATGTTAAGGCACTCTTAGGGGTATTGTTTACGTTGTGAAGTTGCAGAATATTCTAAAGTTGAATTGTGCCAAATTCATGAAGGAAAGTTATCTAGTGATAAAACAGCAATGAATGGGTGACAGTGGCCTCTTGATGATCATCCTAAGACTAATTACAGTAAGAAGTCACTAATTTGGACTAGTTGGGAGCAGACCCTTGTCCAAACTGGTGGAAGTACGAAGTACAGAAGTGCTACTGAAAATATGTTCAGGGAAGTTTTGAAATGGTCTTCACATGTTTATTTAGGCAATACAGCTTTATGTTGAAACGCAGATTGTGTGTCAGAAAATTAATTTATTTGTCATGAATTGTAAAAATGTGAGTTGTGACGTGAGCCTTAAAACATTTTAGGTAGCTTACATACTTAATATTATTGAGGCTGCATTTAAAGAATAAACTTATTTTGGTTCATATTCCTTTTTGTACTGTTCTTTTACTATATCTTGCCTCATTTCCCACAGCATTATCTGATATTTATTGCATCATGGGTTAAAATTCACAGAACTATTGATGGACTCCAAGCTTTGTTATGTCTCTGTTTGTGTACTATCTTGCGGCTGATTTTCTAGATCTAGAATGCTTGAACTTTAAATCTCTTTTAATATGGCCTCGATGTTTGATGTGAGGCCTAAGTGTATCTACTGTCATCTATGCTAATGCTACCCACTCTCAATTTGTGATCACTGATTGCAGCAATATGATGATGAAGGTCATTATGCGCAAAAAAGAAACGGTTTTCTGAATTTCTGCAAATTCCAAATTAGTGAGGTATCACCCTATAAGAAAGAGTAATGTCCTGGAAGAAACAAAATTGGAGACTATTTATGCACATGATAGGTAGGTAGGTAGGTAGGTAAGTAGGTAACGTTATCCCTGTAACAGGCCCTGAAGGCCCATAGGGTTGTGAGAGGTCGAGGCTCCCACATTTTCTAGACGGCTCACAGATGGTGGTGAGGCTGTCAGCCATATGCACTGGCTGCCCCTTTAGACCCAGGAATATTCCTGGTACTCATTTCTGTTAAAGAGTCGACCCCAGGGCTGTAGTGCGGCTGGAAGGATTAGATAAATTGAAAAAAAAAAAACACCTCATTGCGATTCTATCCCGTGACCTTCCGGCTTGTAGCATAGTGCCTCAACCAACTATGCTACTGAGTGCCCAGTTCATGAACGTGCATACCCATGAAAGGGTAAAACATTGTTTTATTCTTTTTCATGGGACAGATGAAGTTACTTTGTACTGGTAAAAATTATAAATTTATTTGCAATGTGTTGAGCATTCTAATGATTGGGGTAGGTATTTAAATTCCCCATTTAGGTCCAAGAAGGTGTCTGTGCCATTGAATGCAATAAGCCGAGTGATTGGTCGTGGAGGAAGCAACATTAATGCAATTCGAGGAGCCACGGGTGCCCATATTGAGGTGGAAAAGCAAAGCAAAGGACAAGGAGAAAGAATAATCACAATTAAGTGAGTATTAGAATTCTCGTATTTATAAATTCAGCATCTTCGTTCATGCCATCATAACAGATGTGTACCATGTATATCATATTGAATTGTGGCTTCCTATTTTATATGAAAGTCTTTAGGTGTTATCATGGGCCATGTATGTGTTTGACGTACACTTCTCCCCAATAACATTTGAAAGAATGGACAGAATTTTTCATGACTGAACATTTATGGTGCTGGAATATTTAATTGAATGCACTAAACATGGCTGTTCTCATGAACATTATCCAGAATCTTCATTGACTTCAGACCCAACTTTTCAGATGTTAGTGACTAGACATGGGGTGTCGGTTTGTGATTGGATTTGTTGAATTCTTACAAACTGTACCTACAATTACTTATAACCGTTTTGCTAGTTTATGCACTTTACACTTCACTACAGCATGCACTGTCTTCTGTGTCTTCACTAGGCACTGCCTGGTAACTGTGTAGATTCTTCAGCTTCCATGTTCCATGGTTCCTCTCCTTGCTGGCTGATGACTGTCTCACATCTCACTAAACTGAGTCTGAGTCTGAGTCTCATTTTATGACCGACGGTCAGTCGGCTAGTCTATCTTGGCATAGAGCTCCCATCTGGGGCTTGCGACCAGACCTTTATTACTGTTGGACAGTTATGGTCTTGTTTTTTGTGGGTGCCCTCTCTGATCAGAGGACATGTCTGTCTTTTGTATAAGCTGCTGGTCCTTGCCAGCGCAGACTTTCTCGGGTCCAAGACTCTTGGTACTCGAGACCATATATTGCTGTCTCAAATATGAGACTTCCCTTTTCATTGCCTCCTACGACTCGCAGGGTAACAGTGAAGGTATGCGAACCTACCTCCACACGGGCCTCTCACTGAACTCAGCTAGTGACGTCATTATATTTAGAAGACATCACTTCCACAGTTCTTTCATTGTAGTGTGTGTATTCATTGCTACAGAAACGTGTTTACTGATCCGTTCCCTAGCAACGGACGTCTATTCTGGCTATGCTATTTTGTGTTTCACATGTAATGTTACAGTGTCTTTTTCTATCTTCAGGTGTAAGGAAAGGAGTCCCCCCCCCCTTCATTTGGGCCCTTTAGAAAGAGGTGGACTCGATCACTGGATAATCCAGTGATCAAGTCAAATTGTGGAACATTAAGGGAACATACCGTAGAGCAAGGGTCTCCAAACTACGGCCACATCCGGCCCATGAAAGAATTGTGCAGAAATGCACCAATTGAACTAATTTTCCAATGAGTACTGGTAAATGTCATTCCGAGCTTATTGACCTGACATATTATACTGCAGTTCGATGGCTTAGCTGTGGAAAGGTTCTTTCGCGCTTCTTTCAGCTCAGGAATGAAATTGATATATTCTTACCGAGAAAAACCATCATGAACCACTTTTATCAGATACCGAGTGGCTTTGGAAATTATCATTTTTGCTCATCTGGTGAACCGTATTAACCATTTGAATTTAAAGTTGCAGGCTGAAAATAACTTAGTCTGTGATTTATTTGCACTTATCAAGGCATTCAGAGCAAAGTTGATACTTCTGGAAAGCCAAGTGAAAAACTGTAACTTTGTTCATATGCTATACTGTGCAGAGTAGCATAAGAAGGGTGAAGCTGAATTTCCTTCCTCATTTGCAAATTTGGTCATTTCAGATTTGAAAGAACAATTTCGGAAGCGATTTGGTGATTTGGATTCCAGTGCTCAGGAAATTAGATTGTTTCAAAATCCGTTTGACTGTGATGCTGCAGATGTCAAATTCAAATGGAAATTATTGAACTTCAGGAAAATTATCATATTAAAGACAAATACAAGGAAGGAAATTGGATCGAATTTTATAAATTTCTGGACTCTGAGCAGATAGATATGCATCAGGTTACTTGGATGTGGATGTGTTAAAACAGTTTCAGAACATACACACCCAGAGAGGATGTGGCTTGTCTCATGGTATTCAGAAGGCACAAAATAAGGAACAGTGTCATTTAGACTGTCTTCTTTAAAATTTCTGTTTGTAATGCTTCCCTCTCATTTATATTCATCTAAGTGTTCCCTATTTCAGGGGCTCTGCTGAAGCAACTCGCCAAGCTCACAACTTGATAGCTGCATTAATAAAAGATCCAGATGTAGATATACTTCAGATGCTACCAAAATCATCCAAGCTTGCTGTTGTGTCAGTATCGTCATGGGACAAATCTTC